TGACTTCGTAACTCCGTTTCAATGTGGGTTTTCATAGAGAAAATTGACGGGTATGTATTAAGTTAAAGGTATTAATTTCTAAAGACTGAACAATAAGCTACATATGTCTTTGACAATTGTTGATAAACTTTTTATATCAGCAAACAAACTTATATATAGATTGATAGCCATCAGTCTTATTTCAACTGAGCTCCAGCATGACTGTTTATGGTATATTTCGAAGCTAAATTTGGATACATTGTAAAAAAATATATATATAATATATATATATAATAATATTGCCTATAATAAATTAAAGGCAAATATTTAAAAATTGATGAAAAAGCTAAGAATATTTAAAATCACACTGAAAGAATAAAGATTCATCTATGAGTTTTAGAAAATATATTTAACGCCATCATCTTTCTATATAGAACACTAACATATGGGTTAATAAAAATTAGAAAAAAAAAGTTTCATAGATAGTTCCAAATGGCCCTTCTCTGGCTATCCCACCCTTAACATAGAAACAGAACAAACATCCACGATGCATAATCTTCCGCAAAGTCACGCTTACGTCACTTTCCCTCGATCGACTGAAATGTAATCTGATGACTTCATTTCATTATGCTATCGGCGTTTCGATTTTCTCTTTTATGAAAGCACATGTCGTCAATTGCAAATGAATGATAAATTTGGCGAGTTATAATTTATCGTGAAAAGTCCACGAAATTCTGAGCCATTTGAATATGTGCACAGACAGCATACATACATTAACTACAAATTACAATTTTACTAACAACATTAATAATATTCATAGGCTTATAATTGCCTTGGTAATTACATTCAAGTGTTTCAAAATTATATTTGTACGTATTTATATTTTATGTGTGCAACCCAAAAGCCCACATTGCGAAAACCGGAAGTCCGTAGCCCAAGAAGGTTACGCGATTTGTCGATCAGGAAAATACAAATATATATGTAAGAAAAAAGTTAAAATAATTTGAAATATTTTGACGATTACGTACACACACCATCGCTTAGTAGTGCTGTGTAGCAACAACCGCCGATGGGGACCCTGAGCTGGGCTGAGCTGAACTCAGCTCAGAGAGAGAGCGCTATAGAGCTATGGGCTCTGCCTATAAGGCGGCGTCGTTGGACGCCGGCGGACGCACGTGAACATTATTGTTGGCCGCTTTGTTGCTGCTCAGAGCTTGCTTGCAGAAAGGGGGGGGAGGTGGAAGAGGGAAGGCAGGCAAGTGTCGTTTCGTGTGCATGTGTGTGGCGCTGCCTCATGTTTCTTTCTTATTTTTTTTCTTAACCGGAAGTTTTACAAAGCAAATGAGCAAAAAGTGTGCATGGCTATGAAAAAAGTTACCGAGGGTGAATTATAAAGAAAAGACAAAAAAAAAAATGAAGAAAAAAAGTGAAACAAAAAGACAGTTGGCGTTTGGCTTTGCAGTGCATAAATTTCAAATCACGTACAATAGACAAAGTTTCTGCTCTTTTGGTGTCACCAACAACAACGCCAACGTTAATGAAAACTAGGCAAACGACAAAGTTATAACAAAAAGCTGCACAATTAACTTGCAAGCGAAAAAAAAAACAGTTTTAAACAAAACATTTATGTCTACATCCACAATTTTTTTAACGACCCTTACTCGACTGATGGCAATAAGATGTACAAATTTATGGGAAAATGAGGGAAATTAAACCACTAGCTTCACGGATCTTCAGCAGTACCCACACATATCTTTTATGTTAAAAGAAAAAATTGTTGACATTTACGATATAAGCATTAGTATTGTGGGGCGAAAATATGTTCCAAATTCCAGAGGAATGACAACCATATTTATTAAACAATTTCAAATACCAAAATTTATGAACTCAAAGTATGCTTCATAAATGTGTGTGTTTTAACAACAAATACAAACTTTTTTGTCATTTCGTAAAAAATAAACTCTTGCCTAGCATTACTTATTTCTGAACAGTCTTTTTGTTCACGTCCCTTATTCTTTACAATATTTGGTTATTGTTTCTTTATTACAAAAATGGATATAAATAATGCTTTGTTCAGCTCTTTTTATGATCCAATTATACAAGTATGCACGCAATGGATTATTGTTCTAAGGACTGTCCGGACTATAATAAAAGGACGATATACTAGATTGGTGCGAGTATTTGTTAATCATCATCATAAAATATAAATCTATAGGATAAGTCATCGGTCTGCCTACCTAACCATAAGTAGAAGATCTAAAGTAACCAAAACCAAACTAAATCCCAGGCAATATGTTTTTGTTACGCATCTCTAGCCCTCCAATAATGTTATTGTTACTTTCAAAATCCCGGACAGTAGGTCGAATAGAAGAGTTCTTTTTAGCTCGTTGTTATAGCATTCTTTTACTTATTATTTTAAAAAAAACTGTAGTCCGTTAGATTTTTAATCGATTGGACTGAATGAAAGTCGTTACTGGGAAACAAAAATAAGCTCCTAATATGGATTTCAAAGAAACTCCCCGTGCGTTATAAGAACTTCCACAAAGGGAATAACATAATACCCTTTCCGTTGCAGTTATGGCTGCTAATTTAAAGCTGCGTGTTGACGAGTGGGCGTTTACAGTGGGTGCTCTTTTGTGTGCGTGTGTGTGTGTGTGTGTGTGTGTGTGTGTGAGTGTGTGTGAGTGCAACCCCTTTGTACCGTTACATGCTCCCTTTTGCTTTACGTTGCGCTGCATAAATTGTATAGATTATATTGCGCAGCTAAAAGGATTCACTTCCAGCAGCAAAAATAACAACAATAACAACAACAATTGCAGTACATGGTGAATTGAGGGCATGTGGTGTTTGTATGTATGGATGTGAGTGTGTGTGTGGATGAGTTTTGCTTTGCTTCCTACTGCAGTCACATGTTTTGCTGCCAGCGTGCGGGTGACTGCTGAGAGTGAGAGTGAAATAAAAAGAAAAACCGAAATGAAACGCAAACAAACACAGACACTCTCATACTCATACAGATACGGACGCGTAAATGTTTGCCAAACATGGAACGTACGACTACTTCTTGGCGCAGATAAAAAGGGACCCGGGGCTGGGTTTCGGCAATAAATCACAGCGTCAAATGGACGACACACACACACACACAAACCAACACTAACACCAACGAGCCTCGTGACCAGTCCGACCACAGCAATCAGGCGTTGCATTGCATGCAAACCTTTTCATTAAGGACGAAGTACACACACACACAGTCTCATATGGTGCATTAGTACATATACGAGGCCATTGCAGGCGAACGTCGAGGACATGGCAGCAACAAAATCAATGAAATTTTCACTACTTCCGGCAATAAAAAGGCAAAAGCTCTGTACTTAGTTGGCCGACTTTTGAACTAACTTACAGCATAAAATATATCGATGCGGCACTGAAACTCAAGCATTACAACTTATAGCTGATTGAAATAATTTGGTAATAGTTCTTTACTTAATCGGTAGTCAAGAGTTTGCGACTTATGGAAAATAGACAGATATTAAAATACTTCCCCCACCATGCAAAATGCATCGAAACATCAAACATTGGCACTAGAAGTTGAATATAATAATGAGAAACATTTAAAGTTTGACCCAAGACCATCCTTCTTAGATGTCATTTATTTTACGAAATTTTCGATTTTCTAAACTTTACAAAGAACTGTAGGCGTTTAAGTCCATCAATACATAATTTTGTCGATTCACATTTCTGCATACCACTTAGCAGACTCTAATTTTATAAGATATATCGAAAAATAAAATTGAGTTCATAAAACGTTAATCAAAGAATTCAATGATCAAGCCACCAAACAGCTCTCTTGTGAGCCCTGTGCTAGAATACTACTAATCTGGTATCGGAAGTATGAAATTGAGCTAGTTTAGAGTATTTTAAAAATTAAATCTTTCTAGGAAACTTTAAAAATAAACAATGTCGACAGCTTTTGAAAAAAGATATATTATTATTTACAAAAAGCAACCTTTTTCTTTTTGTATGTTTTTTCGAAGTATTGTTAATCGATTCTGTTGGTAAAAACATTTTATTTCTTTTTCATTTATTAAATATTCAATTTTTCCATTAAATGATGCGGCAGTCGCACATAGTAGGATATGCCACATTTTGTGTTATTTATTTCATTAAAATAAATCAAGACTGACTGCTCAAGTACTTAAGGCCTTACAAATAGAAAATTAGATAAATGTATTTACTTTGCAATCTCACTGTTACATAAATTCTAAGCAATTTCATCTACCCTTTTATATACAGGGTAGAAGTGATGTGAGCGTTTCGCCAACGATAGGGCAGGGGATTGACTTTATTGCGGCTGTTTGACTTTCTGCTTGTCGCGTCGCAGCGCTTTGAAGCAAAGTTATTAGACTGCGACACCTTACAGGCGAACAAACATGACCTGGCCAAAGAAATTAGACAAACATCGCGAGTGGAAGGAGTGTGGGGGTAAAATTTCGTAAAAGGAAAAGTCAGATGGCAAACTCATACGAATGTATGTGTGCATGTAAGCGGCGAATAATTAGGTGCTAGTTTCGACACTCTATCTTGGATTAAATTAACGCTATAATTTCTTGCATAACATTTCGATAGGCAAATGAAAAACGTGTGCATCAAATATTAAATACAATTAACCTTGTTTAGTCAATTACCAAACTGGGTCAGAAATTTGCAAACGGTTTGCATTTAAAATAGTCATTGTAAATGAACAATTTGAATTATTTAAGGCAATTTAGTAAGCTCCCGACATGGGGAATTTCTATGAGCTTTTGAGAAGTTAATTTTAGTAAAAATAATATTTACATATGTACATACATAAGTAATTAATTCAATTTTTGTCTTTTTTATGTACATACATACATATGTATTTTAATAACAAAACAAATGCATAGCCCATCTTTACCGATCTAGAAGGCGATAAATGACTAATGATTTCGAATAATTTTTATATAAATTATTTATTTATTAGAATGAAGTGATGTGACACTTACCTCTGGTGGATCCCAAACGCATTCGCCAGTTGTTAAATTGGCATACATGTGCTCCTTGGTTCGCGGTTCGATAATTTCTACCCATTCTATTCTGTAATGCAAAAGCCATGAGACACATACATACATATTTAAATATATGTATGTACATATGTATGTGCATTAATACGTAGAAAGACATTAAAATGCGAGTGCTTCTATTTTAAAGCAAAAGCATTTCAAGAATGCACATGCTTTAAGTCAAAAGATAAAAATTTTGTAAGGCCATCACGCCCCATACAGCAACAACAACAACACAAGCAATAACGGCAGATATAAAAACACAATGTCGAGTCATATGTATGCGCAGACAAATTTCATTCATTCATTCATTCATCGCAGTTCTTCTTTTATTTGAAAAAGCTGCGCAAAGATGAAATACAATAACAACAAATCCAAAAAACACCCAATTCTAACCCAAGTTTTAACGCCTTGAATTTCCGAATTGTGCGCATGTGTATGTGTGAGTTTTCATTGTATGCGTTGGTTTTCCCCATGAATTTCCTTGTTTTGAAGGCAGACACACAAACACACAACTTATTTTGTCAAACATTTTCCGGTTATTCCTTATTTGAAGTTGCATTCAGAATGTGTTCCACACTGTCCTTCACACACACAACCAAGTATCTACCAGTTACAGAAGGCAATTGCTCTCTTTTTTGTTGCTTTTCAGCATGAAGTAACGTTAAGTTGTTGCCGCTTCATGCAAGAAAATCGATTTTCATATGCGGTTTTTATAAACCAACTTGAATAAATTAAGCAACATACTAGCATTTAATTTAATATGTAAAATGCAAATGCAACGCAGCCTACGAAAAGCGGCGGCCTACCTACACACACACACAACTTACGCACACACACAAACAAACATACATGCGCACTCAGACGCAGCTGGCGCTGAGTAGCTGGACTCGCCTTAAAGGGGTGGGGAAGGGTGGCTGTGTAAGCGGCTGAACGATTGCATTGCGTTAAAATTTTTTGCATTTCCTTGTCAGTCAGCCCACAAATACACGCACATCCTTCATACATACATATAGACACATATTACATATACAAAGTACGCAGACAGACTTGGATTTATTTTTTACTCAATTTATTTAACAATAGCACAACAAGTAGATTTGTTTAATTCATGTTGTTGCTGTTGAGATCTTTTATTAAATTGTATACACATTTCGACATTCGCAACACCTTGTTGTTATTGCTGCTACTTCTGATGTTGTTGCTGTTTTATTCGTAGTTGTATAGTGTAACGGTACACACCTTTCACAACTTGAACTCATTTTTTCTTTTCTTTATTGCTGGCGCGGCTTGCGCTTTTCGTTGGTGGTGCCGTCGTCGTCGTCGCCTCCTTTGGCTATTTCTGCTGCTGGCGCTGCTGCTGCTTCTTCTTTGCCTTTTACACACATACACCCCACCAACTGGCGACACACACACACGAACAACAACTTAATATTTTCCACTACTACACCTATTTTCGTTTCGAACAGGCAGCGAAATGCAATTTTTCTTTTCAATTGATTTTTTCTAGCAATCTGCGTTTTCACATCGCTTTGCACGCGTGCACTTCACTTTCACATTTATGATATAATTTACAGGCCATATTTTCGCTTCGCCTTTCTTTTGTACAAATGCATTTTTCAATTACTTTTCAACTCTATTCAGAAATATATAAACTGCTTGCATCTACACGCCGCCTGCAATACAACACAGGGAGAGATTGAGAACTGAGCTGAGGATGGAAGTTGCACCGATACACCAACAGTATCGCTGTTCGTATCGATATTTGTTATAACTATATCAAAACAAAGTATCGGCGATACTACACCAATGGAATTATCAGTTTAAATTTTATGAATTCCATTATAATACAATTTAAAGAGCTTATTTTATTAAAAAATGGTCTTAGGATAAATAATTGTATATAATAAATTTCCTGTTAAGACGTAAAACTGAATTAAAATAGATCGAAATGTCGGCAATTGGCGCGCAATACGAACCCAATCAAATTAAATTTTGTGTAGAAAAGTTTTTATTTCATAAAAACATAACTAGCTTACATAAACAGTTTAATTTTAACTAGGCCTTGAATCAATAACAATCAGATACCATATCATCATCACGTTTTATCGCATATAGTATGTCATCCAGCAGGGACGCAAAGTTCTCTTTACAATCAATCCACTCCTGCTGTTGCTTCACCATATTATCCAAATCTAATTTCTTAATTTCCTCCATGTAGTAACGCACTGGAATGGCAAACTGCTTATAGTAATACTCGTTGATATGTCGAGCTACCGTTGCATCATGACTATTTATTTGCATTTGCGACTCAAACGCCTTCTCCAGCAAATGCACATCCTGAACATTTAGTATGGACTCGATAACCTCATCCGCGTGATTGGGGTTCATGGTAGATTCGGTTGTATCAGTTGGAGTTTGAGCTGGACTGTCGAAACTAAAGTTGTAATCCATATTATCGCCGGATGGTGGCGTCAAGTTGTCAATATCGGCCAAAATAATGTCAATATCGTGTTGTTTTAACTTTTCATTCATTTGATTTATGCCACCCACTACAAGCTTCAGCACTTCCATTGAGTACTCCTCGTGCAGACACTTGAGCACAACTCCAAAGTAGCCGTATTGTTGCACTTCGGTAAACACTTTTGCAATTCTCAGCTTTATCTCCCGATCTGTCAACGTAACAATCTTTTTGTGCTCCTTCGAAAAGGTAACCGTTGGAAAAACGCCATCGATCATGCCTTGATTTTTTAATTGACGCTGAAATTCCATTGTCCAGAAATGCAATGCATTGATTTTCACCTCCCAATGATGATCGCCGACAACGCAATAGTTAAGGGTTGAGAAGAGCGTGTTTTTATACTTATGGGGTATTTTGCGATGATCATAGATTTGCGAAAGCGTTATTATGGCCTCGGAACGCACAATGTCCTCGTTCTCACGATAAAGCACAAAAAGAAGATGATCCTGGAAAATGTACAAATAGCAAATATTTCTTTCATTCGTGACTAGTGTTTTTTACCACTAAATCTAATTGGCTTAGTCCATTTTCCCACAGTGAATTTATCGGGACCATTTTGGTCAGGCACTTAAAAGCTGAAGCCCGCACATAAGGCTCAGCATCGTGTTTGGCCATTTCATAAACAATCGGAGGTATTTTGGCGTCGACTAGAAAACGCTGAAACGCAGGAAATTCTGCAAGTATCAAAAACCCGGTAAATAAATGGCTGTAGATTTTATATTTGTTACTTACTGATGCGAGAGATGCAGGCTATCGATGTGGTAAGTTCCAGAGTAGTATCACGTACCTCCCAGGTTGTATCATGCATACGCTTTATTATAATGGGTCCCAGGCAAACTAAAGCTGATCCCTGTAGATTATCAACTAAAAGTGCCATGTTTGGCGAAAGAAAGTGCTCTACGGCCAATTTAACCAACTTAAGGGCTTGCACGGTACACTAGAAAGAACAAATACATATTACTCTTCGGAAATTCTAAACGAAATGCCAATGAATAAGGAATGTGTATGCAAATATATATATATATATATACATATATAGAAAACAGTTCAATAGTTATACAATTTCAAGGAACTTACTCTCGCATCCATATTGCAATTCTCCAACAAGAAGGCTAGACAATTAACCAACCCAATGGTCTCAACAGACTCCTTCCAAGTGATTTTGAAACGTTCAATCAGTGTCTGCAGGCCAACCATTACAGAATGCAAGACCTTTGGGTCCTTGACAACTAGCTCTGTTCCACGCGGATAGATGTTGAAATAGTTGTTCGAATCATTGCTGCTGCTACTGCAGTTAAAACAGTCGTCTGCGTCCTTGGGATTGATACTCTCGCCCAAAGCCACAACCTCTTTTAACACATATAGTAAGGCTTGACACCCAATAACAGCCTGCTCGCGATCCAAAATGTGCTCCAACGAAAGTATACTGTGAATGCACTTGTGGGCCAGTTCGGGTGTGAATAGGCCAGGGGTTACGCCATCGGGCGTAAAAAGTGCGTCCCTCAGGCTGTAGCACAGGCGCAGGGTCTGCTCACAGGAGATCTCCAACAGTTTCATGATATATGTGTCGAAAAGCTCGCCCTTGGACTCATCTGCCATTTTCCTGGCATTTTTCATGGAGAAAAGCAACGGCAACATATGGAATAAAATCAGTTGATTTTCAAAGGCCACACGTTCATTCTCAATTATGATTTCTTTAGGGGCACGTGTGCCCAATTTTTTCCATAGCATGTGATTCAATTCGGCCATTTTAACAAAATTCATACCGTCGTTACGCTCAATGCAGAATTTCATCAGATTGAAGAAAGACAGACCGAATTCTGTAAACTGTTCGGGCGCCTCCGTGGACATAGGATTTAGGAGTTTCTCATGCACCAGATAAGCAAAATAATAACTACTTAACGTTGTCAATATCTTTTCGATGAAATAGGCATTATGCGTCATATGCATTAGCTTCCAAATTGTTATCTCTAGATCATGGTGGACCTTGAGCAATTGTATAAGATTCGTGCGTTCTTCGGACAACATCGTCTGCTGTAATATATATGTAAGCAGATCCAGTGTTGAAGATATTTTGTGCAGGAGCTCCGAGTCATCCACATGCACGTGTATCCTTTCATCTGTCACCTGATATAAATTCTCGTGAATGGGACGCAATACTTCGGCTAGAATTTCTAAAGTAACGACCTCATCGTTTAGCTTATCGCAGAACTTGAAGAGCATATCAAAGAGCAGCTGCCGTGCCTCCCGCACCACATATAAAGTGTGATCATTATTTGAGTATTGTATGAGCAATGTCCAGGCACGATCCATTCTAAGGAATGCCAGGCCCATGCTATATGTGCTCACAGATTTCATTACGCGTATTCCCCCAAGTTTTATTGATGGACTGAAGTTATGCTCGCTCTTTAGGATATGCACTACCCTGTAACATAGTCAGATTTGTATATTTTAATTAATTTCTTTAAATTTGATTTCAATCCAGCTCACCTATGCATTATTCTTAACTCACGCAGCCTGACGATCATCCATTCGTCAGATGCCAAGAAACTGCAGAGATTTAACATAAAAGATATCACCTTGGGATGGACTTTACTGAAGTCCTCGCTAACCAAACTGACGCATTTGTCCACCCATTCAATAGCAAAAGGCGCCTGCAGCACGAATCCATTTTCTACGCATCGGCAGAGCGGAAAAGAAAGGTGAATAGGATGTTTATTTGAAACAAACACGCTTTTTGTTTGCCGTCTTGCCTGTTGCGCCCGCACACTTACCCTTTGCCTGTAGGTGCGAGATAAGCTTCTCAAAGTAAACACAGTTAGTGGTTGAGAAGTTCTCGCGCAAATAAAGATCAAAAATTTGCTTTAAGCGGCTGATAATTTCCTCCTGCTTTTGCATCTTTTCCACAACCAGCACAGCCCATACGCATGTGTTCTACACCAGAATTGATCTGAGCATAGTAATGCTCACAAAAAATAATGAAATCCGCTTATCACGAATAAAATACAGAATGCATTTGTCCCTGCGCACATTGCCGAACACTGGCTATTTTGTCAAGCAAAAGAATGATGCAGAATGCAACATAGAGTTGCCAGTAACGCTAGAAAGTCTTAGGACTTTATAATTAGATATTCATGTTTGATCAGCAATCAATTTTAATTATTATGTTAATCGCAATAAATACACGACATAAATAAATATCGAAAAAACGTACATATGTACGTATTAAGAAATAAAGTTAGTTTGACTCATCGGCTTGAACGTGTTATCGTTTTCCTCATCAAGCATCGCCAGAGCTGTCTGTTAGTGTGCAGACCCCATCGTCTTGCCTCGAGCAGCAGCAGCCTTCGGATTGTTATTAAAAAACTGAAATTCAGCACTGCACTTGCAATTGTGTGAATAATGTAATTTTTTAACGTTATTAACACGCAATTTGGACAAATAACAAAGCCGTATCAGCAGAGGTAGAAATAGCAAGACTTTTTAAATTGTCAGCGGGTGTGTTGGGGACTATGGACAATGTAGAACGAGCTGCAGAAAAAACAACAGCAACAACACCAACAGCAATAACAGCAGCAACAACAATAACCCAAATAATCACATCGACACGCAGCTCTGAATCGCAACTATCTACCCCGGGCCCATTATTAAACAATTCGACGTTTTGGAAAAACAGCGGACGTGCCGTTCCTGGACGTCCCAGTCCGAAACGTGATTTGCAGGGCAAATCTGGAGTGGGAATTGCCGTAATTGTGCATGGTACAGAGACAGGGGCAGGAACAGGGACAGGTGCCAACATTGCGGGCAGCGTTGGTGGTGGTAACAATATGGTATCCACCTTTCGCGACTACCAACAATCAGTGAGCGATGCTTGGGATACGGGCGATGATGAATTCTGCATTTTAAACAACGCGGAAGCGGCCGCAGCCGGGGGCGGTATGTTGCTAACTTTACAAAAAGGACGAACTAATAATAAATATGCTTTCCAGATGCCGCACGCATTTCTCGTCAAGTGTCACAAACGGTTGCTCTAAATGTGATTGAAACGCATTCGCGTAACAATCAAAACTATGCCAATACGCAGAGCCCCATAGTGCCGGCAAATAGTGTTAATGGCAGTGCCGCAGATCTGACGCCCGGTAGTAGCAATAATAGTAGCAGCGGTACTGCAGAAGAGAATAAGGAAGAGTTACGCAAATCAGCGCACGATAGCAACGAGAACAGGTGGGCTATACCCTACACCCAACCGCGTTTTGTTTTGCTGCAATTGTGCAAAGCATTACAGCTGTGGTAATTTAAATACCTTAATAATATGCCCAATTTGAGACGCCTCAATTTCACGGCAGCTACGATAAGCATTTTAACTGCAGTCTTCAAGCTTAGCAGACACACTTTCGATGTCTGCACAAAGCTCACCCATTCGTCTACTTGACTCGCTTGACTCTGTACCATCCTATGCTTTCAGAGCACGACTGCGCAACTATCCTGGACGGCCGCAGCTGCAGAAGATTAGCTCCAATTCACAGGATGGCGAATATGAAACGAAAATTGAAAAATTCCAGCTGTTGCTCGATTCACCGCAATTGGATCTAGTAGCTCTAAAAAAGATTAGTTGGTCGGGCGTGCCGCGCAAGGTAAGATACCACAATCCACTGCTTCTATCAATGTCTAATATATTCATCGTTTATTAGATGCGCGCTGTAAGTTGGCGCCTGCTCTCGAAATATTTACCACCCTCGGGCGAACGTCGCAATGCTGTGCTAGAGAGTAAACGGCAAGGCTATCAGGATCTAAGGCACAACTATTTCAAGGTGGACAGTCAGGATGAGACGCAACAAGATACCTATCGTCAGATACATATCGATGTGCCACGCATGAATCCACAAATACCGCTCTTCCAACAGAAACTCGTCCAGGAAATGTTCGAACGTGTACTCTTCATTTGGGCCATACGTCATCCCGCCTCAGGCTATGTCCAGGGTATAAATGATTTGGTTACCCCATTCTTTATCGTTTTTCTGCAAGAGGCACTGACGCCAGACACCGATCTGGAAAAATATGATATGTCCACATTGTCGGAGGAGACGCGCAACGCCATCGAAGCTGATTCATTTTGGTGTCTATCGAAATTTTTAGATTGCATACAGGATAACTATATATTTGCACAGCTGGGAATTCAGGAGAAGGTAAATCAACTCAAGGATCTAATACAACGTATTGACGGTGAGTTTCAAATTCCATAACTTTTATAATAAAAATATTAATTATGTATATTATTTGTATTCGAGAGATAGCTTAAGTGTAAACTATCTAAATGAAACCAGAACTGTTGAAATGTTAAAATATTACAACGAATCTGGATCCGTAGAGAACTAGATTTCAAAAACAGTAAAAAGAAGGCTCATATATATAAAACTTTAAGCAAATAAGAGACTTATAATCATAATTATGAAGGTTGGAGCGGGGTAATTTGTAAATATAGTAATAAATTAATTAATTCAATTTCATCAACAGTAAATCTGCATCGTCATCTACAAACACATGGTGTCGATTATTTGCAATTCTCATTTCGTTGGATGAACAATTTGCTGACACGCGAACTGCCCTTACACTGCACCATTCGACTGTGGGACACCTATTTAGCTGAATCGGATGGATTTGCTTTATTCCATTTATATGTGTGTGCGGCCTTTTTGTTGCACTGGAAAGATCAGCTAATGCAACAGAATGATTTTCAGGTAGATATATAAATGCTCTCACTTTATTTCTTAATGGAAATATTTTTAAATTTGCAGGGTCTCATGTTGCTGCTACAGAATCTGCCAACCCATAATTGGTCCGATCGCCAAATTAATGTGCTGCTCGCTGAAGCGTTTCGCTTAAAGTTTACGTATGCGGACGCGCCGAAGCATCTGGAGACGAAGAGTTGACAAAAGCAACAACAACAATATATATACGTAACATAGAAATTAGTTTATTACACATTGCAAAATAACATACACATACATACTTTATATATATTATATATACAGTTTGTTATTTAAATGTACTTTTTTGTTTGTGAGTTTTCTTCAGTTTTTACTGCTGCGCTTTCCTTGTATATAAAATTTGAAATTCAACATCTATATATACTTAAAAAAAATTAAAATTCGTATTAGCGGCTGCTGCATGCGAATATTAGAGAAACTTTGTCTTTTATAAAAACAAATCGAAAATCAAAACAAAACGCAATAGTAATAATAAATTTAGACATTTTTTTCCCGTACAAGTGGGGAACTCAAATTAGCATAAATAAAATGAAATAAAAAACTACTTGCGTACGAGTACATAAATAAGTAGAATGTATTTGTATGTGGAATCTAACTCTGGCGATCAGCGAGATGCTTGAGTTGCTTCAGCACCGTTTCCAACAGTTTCTTTTTATCATTTTTGCGCACCAGCGAGAAAATTGGCTTCTTATCTGCCTCACGTATTTTCTCCAATATAACAATAATGGACTGCGGTTGAACCAAGTGATAGCGATTATCCTGCTTGCCGTAGTCATGCAAATAGGTGCTCCATTCTTCGAGTATTAGGAGATCTAGCAATTGGCGATTACGTAGAAAATATTTAGTAAGTTCGCCTTCACGCAAACCAGGTACGGGTTCAGAGGCGGCAAAGAATTCACACTGCATCAGATCCAGATTGATTTGGGTAAGGGCACCCGTAGAGATTTGTTTAACTTCCTCATCATACAATATGGAGTAGATTTTATCGGCAATGTGCTCGCAAGTACGTCGACAACCAGCTTGGGCGATGTGCGTCAGCTTGTGGGAGAAGCTATCGAAGGTGCTCTTCAAATATGAAATCATGTCCGTTATAAAGGCCGAAGCTATGCCCGGCGGCTCGACCAGCAACCAATCATAGGCGGACAGCTCGAAGAACTCATCGACTTTCGAGCAAATTCGCACAGCCACTTGCTTCTCGGCATCCTGACGCGCCACATGGAACATGGCCGAAGGCGTCTGTGAAATACTGCGTTCCGTATTGGTCATATGACACACAAACTCATCCAGAAAGGGACCCGCCTTATCCAAATACTGCGTGTCGACTATAATTTGTATCAGTTGGGTGAGTGTAATACTTGGCTGACGGAATACCACTGAAAGACAACCGCTGAAGCTCCTTGTGAGCAATAAATTGGCCGCTTTCCGTACCATGGCAGCCACTTCATTGGGCGACAACGTCAACTCCTCAGCAAACTTCATGCACGCATACATAAACTCCTTGGCCTGATGATAAACTTCGGGCACCATTCGTGAGAAGGGGAACTTTTTTGGAAACGGCGCGTTCTCCAGCTGCTCGGAGTGAAATGGAAAACGTTCTATAATTGATTCGTATTCTTCCGTGTTTTCCACAATCATCGGCAAAAACTGTTCCTTGTCCAGTATGTCGCGAAAAACATGCACCCAACGTTGCAGCAGCACCTAAGTAACAATAGTTAGTTTGACTTTTAAACTAATTATTATAATTCAACTCACCTCATTATAATGATCCCGCATATTGTGCAACAACTCCCAAAGTATGTTGACTGTGTAGCCGTAGCATTTGAAAGTGTTTATGGAGAGCATAATCAGATTCTTGATGCGCAGCAGAATATTGGGATCTGTGCAAGAGGAAGAACTCATGCTAATCTCGTTGACAAATTTGGTCAACGAAGTAGACCACAGATCCTCCAGATAGGTGCTGGTAACCACATCACCAGCTGTGTTTTTTACATGATCCTCGACCACAAAGAAGCCCACAATGGCACATATATAGGTCTTATAAGCCTCCAGATTATCATGCATATTGGGCGGTGGTTGCAACACCAGTTTGGCCTGATCCCTACGCTGCTGCCGATAATCCTTCTCAAAGTATTCGCGCTGTCCCAACACCATGTAGATGTGCAGACAGCGATAAATTGGTGAGAAATCAATCAAATCCTGGGCGCTCACATTACCGCCATCATCGTCTCCACCTCCACTACCATTCGATGCCTGCTGCTTATGCTCCTCTATAATTGCATTTATGTCGCGCTTCTGTAGCTGCTTTATATGCTTAATGGCCACCTCGCCAATGCGTGGCGAAAATTTTCGTATGTTTTCGAGAAATTCACGAAAATCGGACTCGGCCGAACGTCTGATATTCTCCTTGATAACCGGAATGGCCTGGCGCATTTGTGTGGCAAAGCGATAGTTCTGCAAATGTGCCAAATGCTCCGTCTCCAGCGTCTCAAGTGTTCGTAGGGATTGATAATATTGTTTGTTGCTCGTTTGTTGCGTGAACTTCAGATAGCACTCCAGTGCGGGTAGGCAAGATTTGAGCGCCTCAATGGCGCTGGCCAAATTGGATTCTATCTGCCGTGCCCGCACCAATTCATTGCCTTGTTGAATAAGGGAGGCGCTCATCTGGTGCAGGGATGTGTCCAAGGAGTGTATTTCATCGTGCAACTGCTTAGCTTGTGTGCGCACCTGCAACAGCTCCTGTATGGACTCTATGAATCCCTGATAGTACAGATTACATATGCGCTCAATTTCCTTATCATGACTGCGTATGCGCTGATCCAATTGTTCACTAATAGCTTTGCTATTGTTACCTGCAAATAAATGAGGGCGTTATATTTACAATTTCTGTTGACGTTTAAAATGTTAGATTACCCTCTAGTATGGAACGAAATGTGGGCCCCCAATAATCGTCGACGGCCTCTATATCCTGCACAGTCACTTTGGACATCCTGTTTGACTTTTGTTTGTACAGCAAGTTTCGTTCTTTATTGCACTTTTCAATTTATCAGAAATTGTTTTTTGCATACAACTGTAGTAGTGCTGGAAAGTAACTGCAGCTTCAGACCGCAATAACAGCTGTTTATTGCTCAGTAGAGTTGAAAAACGATCGATGTTTGCGACCATCGTTATTATTCGCAATATGCTAATTTATTCTATGAGATCAAATATATAAATAAAATTTTTATTATTGACAATAGTAGTTGAATAATGTAGGACATACGGTTAGAACATATCTGTCCAGCCCTTCTAAATCCACAATACAATGGTTTTCTTGTTTATCTGTTATTAACATATCCATTAAAATGAATATTTTCGATAATTTAGACGGCTCTCATTCATATGGAGTATACTTTAGTTGTGCAATGGAATCAACTAATTTCTTATTTTTGCTTTTATTGAATGGGCAAAAAACATCGATAGTGGCGTAAATTTAAACACAACAACGATACTATCGGTGGTTTATCAAGTGTGTGGGCACTGCAAACGTATACTCCGCCTTTTACTTGATTACCCGCCAGCTGTTTTGCGTTCAACTTTCACTTCAAAGATTTTTTGTTGGGGCCAAGTGGTTGTTGTGGCCGAGTAGTTACTTCAGTCATAAGCACAGACAGTAATGTTTACAGTGTCTTCAATGCGGATGAATAAGAAAAGCTTGTACACGCACGCAAATTAAAGAGTCAACAATCACAAGATGTCCAGCATAAGGAATCTCTCAAAACCGGATGTGGACAACAACAATAGCGACTCACAGACAAAACAACAAAATGCTGAATCAAAAGAGAAAAGTGATCCCATGATCTATATAATATTTGCATCGTTACTCTTTGATTTGTTGGCCTTTACAATTATATTACCGCTGTTGCCCTCTCTCTTGGAACATTATCGGACCAATGATAGTTCCGGCTTGTATGCTATACTTACGGACCGTGTACGCTGGTTCCAAGAGCTGGTCGGCGCTCCAGAGCGTTATACATCGGTACTTTTTGGTGGATTCCTGGGCTCCATGTTTAGTTTTTTACAATTCCTGGCCAGCCCCATTGTGGGCGGTTTGTCGGATTATTATGGACGTAAGCCTTTGCTTTTGATTTGCGCAGTAAGTTTGCCAACATAAATATAACTAAGCAGATTAATTGAAGTTTTCAATTTCTAGTCGGGTATATCGCTTTCATATTTGCTTTGGGCCTGCTCCAGCAACTTCGCACTATTTGTGTTGGCCCGCTTTGTGGGCGGAATTAGCAAAGGAAATATTTCTTTATGCATGTCTGTCATTACGGATGTCTCCAGCGTACGTACTCGCGGACGCGGTATGGCGTTGGTGGGCGTGGCCTTCTCGCTGGGATTCATTGTGGGTCCCATGATTGGTGCCATGTTTGCAATATTCTCGAATAAAACAGCAAGCGGGGGCGCTTGGTTCGTCCTTCCCTCACTGCTAGCCCTGGCTCTGTCACTGGGAGATCTGCTGATCCTGGCATTTTGTTTGCGTGAAACTTTGCCCAAGGTAGCTATCATTATGAGAAAAACATGCCCAAATAGTCTTGATCGAATGCGGTTTTGGATGCATCTTTAACAATGATTCGATTTTCGTTAATATTTGTAGATATACATATATAATACAAATAATGCTTTTATTTATTTAATTCATAGGAAAAACGTGTACGAGAAATCTCCTCCGCCATGTCTTATGCTCTGCAATTGCTTAACATCTCTTCCATATTCAGGTTAGTTGTAATTTAATTAGGGCTCCGTCTCAGTCGTGTGAGTTATGCACATTTCTGTAACAATTGCCGCTCTTTGTTGTTGCGCGTTTATTAATTACGCCGACCTTACTTGACGGGTTCTCTGATTTTGTCGCTATCTAGCCGGTATTTATTGTTTGTATTAATGAGCACGTTTTTAGTTGCTGTGTTGGGTTTTTTTTTATCACAAAGACCTTGGCATGCTAAAATAGACTTTAGTTAAAATATTTTGCATGTATTTTAAAGTTAATTTATGCATCTTAACTATTTATATAATTGAGCCCACTTTCATATCTTTTAATGTTTTTTCTATTTGTAGATTTTCTGCTATCAAAAAAGTGCCTAAAAAAGATATCGAAGCGCTGCGCGCTATTGGACTGATCTACTTTTTATATCTATTTCTATACTCAGGCCTAGAATTTACGGTAACATTTCTGATGTATCATAAATTTGGATACACATCCATGGACCAAGCCAAAATGTTCTTAACCACAGGTAAATTTCTTTCATTGCCTATATAACTATATACTTTATTTCCTATTTTTTTAGGGCTTATTATGACGCTACTACAAGGATCTGTGGTGCGTCGTCTACCAGAGTCCAAGATTAAGCGCTATGCCATCTTTAATCTTTACCTAATTGTACCTGCATTTATATTAGTTGGACTGGCAGAAAGCAGCCGGTTGCTGTACGCGGGCATGATTCTTTTTGCCATTTCCACAGCTTTTGTCGTCACTTGTTTAACCACTTTGGTATCAAAATATGGAAACGATGATCAAAAGGGCTCAGTATTAGGCATTTTTCGTTCGCTGGGTGCTTTAGCACGTGCTCTGGGCCCCGTTGTGGGTTCCATAGGTGATTATACTTTTGGTAAAGCTGACTTAAGAGTATACATTTATAAACATTACTATATTTCAGCTTTTTGGTGCGTGGGATCAAAAATTACTTACATAGCAGGCGGAATTTTGCTTATATATCCAGCAGTTGCATTGCAACGCGCTCATATTTAAATTATATTTAACATAAGAACAAAGATATATGAAATTATTTTTACACATATTTGTGTGAATCCAGAAATTTATTTATTTTAAGCATTTTAGAAATGCTCGCTAGTATTAATACGCACTTAAACCTATTATGTTTTATACAGAGAGTATTGTACATTAAAGTATTTTTATGATATTTTTGTACCTTGATTGTGGGTTGTTATGATTTTTAGTTTTCTTGTCGAGGCCTCTTCAATGTAAGTAGAAATAACAAAGTTTTAAAATTTAAATTGAATGGGCGAGATTATATTATCGATATCAACAGAACAGTGCGATATGTTTTATCGTCTAATTAATTGTTCCACTTGAAGTTGGCTGCGACTATTTAGTGCAGTGCTGCCCATTTCGATGTTTCAAGGTATTTCTTTGATGCTCATACTCGATATTTAACTAGTATCGACGCAGTGCTGCCATTTTTGAATGGGAGTGACTAAGTGAGTGTGTCGTCGTCGCGTAAAAGAAAATTATAAATAAATACCTTTTAAGCCACAAATATTTGCAAATTTGCATAGTATTAGTTGCTGCACAAACGCCGCCGACGGCAGAGCACGAATTTATAGTTGTAATACGCCAACTAATAGCCAATTTTATATAATTTTTCTTTTCTTTATATTGTCACGTTACAACAACAAAAAACACAGTGCAAAAAGTGTGAGCAAAATACACGAAATCCCAAATTAAATAGCAAACGGCGGTGCACAAGGATTATTGGATTTTAACACACGGAAATCAACGTCCCGCAAAGGAGCAACAGCAAAATATAATCACACAAGAAGAAAGATAAGAAACACTTAAAACACAACAAAAATGGGTGCAAGGGAAGACGAGTACGATTATCTCTTCAAAGGTAATTATAAACATGATGGTTATGCTCACTCATGCCTCTTGCATTGTCTGCTCTGCTGTGTGTTAAATTTATAATTACAAGCCGGTGGCTGTGCCTGGAAATGGAAATTAAATGCATCTAGGGGGGAGTGCAAATGCCCGCAGTGATTTTGATGATTTCTCCGGCTCATTGGCTTGATGACGCAGTAATAGTTCAATGGCTCTAATTGAAACTAATTGAAATATAAAAAGTGCAGCGGTGTCCCGAAAAAGAAAAATTTCAATAAGTACGCCCCCTATATGGTGAATGTTGTTCTTGTATTTGCTCAGACAACTACATGTGTGTGCGTGTCTAAGCCCTTTGCTTTGTCGCGCTGTCCACCGCCGTGCCCCTCACTCATTCCTGCTTCACCTCCTCCTTATGCGTTACTGCACGCGTAACTACTCTCCGTTAACTGTGTTTTGTCATTGCGTTCCCGTTCTTCTCTTTCTGTCACTACCACTGTCAGTAGTCAGCGTGACACGTTGCATAAAATCGTAAAAATAATCGTGATAAAGTACACACTATTTTCATACATGTTAGTATACATATGTATGTATATGTGAGTAGTAAAGGCGAAGCGACTAATTTTGAAGCCGAGCGAGTGTTTCACACAACACAAACATCTTTTACTTTGATTAGATTTTTAGTTATTAAAATGAGGAAGTGGTGTGCGTATGTGCACTGGCGTAACGAAGGGGTACACGAGCAGGTGCCCCCATAGAAACCGGGCAAAACAAATATTATTTGTAGACTATGAAATTACAAAAAAAATTGTAAACACGACTTTTCCGAATTCCGACAAAAAAATAATTGATTTCAAAAGGAAATAATTATCAGTTATAATTAATCACTATTTATTACTTCACTTCAGATCTAAAATGTTTGCGATGAAGAAATCAACAAGCATTATTTATTAAACCATATTCACCAATTAGTGAACATTTGAACTATCAATAACAATAGCTATATTAAACGTAGAGTCATACCTAAAGAACTATTACATCTCGCCGCATTCAACGCAAACTAACATACATACATACATGAATATAATATGTTATATAATAATGCTAGCAAACAACATCTTTAACCCCTCTAAATGAGATCATGGCTACGCCTATGCGTATGTGTGAGAAGAGAGTTGGCGTGTGTGTATGTGTGTGTGCTAATGTGTATATTGTTGCTATTGGCAGCAGCTACAAGGCAAAAAAGCATATTAATTTGTGACTGCTGGCTATATTGAATTTTCACAATTTCTTTTGCATATGTTCAGTCTTTCAGTCATTTTGTGTCTATTGTTTTGTGTTATTTCTACCCACACTACTGCTTAATGGCAACTCCATTTTAGTTGTTGTTGTTGCTGGAACTTTGTATAAAGCTGCGCTCAGCGGAAGCTACAAACACAACAAACACACATTTTAACATACAGACATAAATACATAGTTGCTTGCACAGTGTACTGAAATCCATTTGCATCTTCTGACTCGGATCCAATGACAAATGCAGTCCCACAGCATGCGGGCATGGAGCTGGAATTTATTGTTATTACCGCCAGCATATACATCCCACTTCTAAGTATTTGCACATATTCACTCTTAGCTTTATATTGTATGTACACATGTATGTACAAAGCCTTGAGCTCAAGCTCTATATATTTTGTGCTATTTGGGGTCACAATTCTCGGCTCTTTCTTTGTTCTCTTATTTGCATACAAGCATTTTGTAGAAATTGCGCGTTATAAGTGTAAGTTTTGTATGTATGTTTGACTTCTAAGAGTGCTCCAGAGTGTGCATGCTAGAATTTCCGTTAGCAATCAACATTAGTAATCAAAATCTGTTGGAAAGGCTAGTACTTAGGCTAAGCTCAGCGTTGAAAACGATAGCAAAGATACATATGTATGTATGTACTATACATAGGTTGTTTTTTCGCTTTTGTTAATGATCCCATTTGCTTTAACACCTAAAACATTCGTCATAAACCACTAAATACCGATATGTGTAGTTATGTGTATATAATTATCGCCCCTAAGTACGACACGATGAATCATATGAAAGCAACAAATTCCAGCAGGGCATCAAACTTTTCGATAAGGGCAACCTAATCATATTCCATTTCCAGGCCATGTGCCCGATATCTGCTTGACAACTCAATAGCCACTGAGCTGTTGTTATTATAATTCCAATATCTGCTAAAAAAAAAAGGGGTATAAAATAAAATATATTGATTTTTACTATTAGATTAGGCCGTTGAAGCTTAATGGGACTTAAAAAGGCGTTAAAAATGTCTGTAATTAACCAATTGTATTTTATATAATATACATTAAATTAATTTTGTATTATTTCAAAGAAAACTAGTTATTAAATTTCATTGTTTTCAAATCGTGCAATGAATACAACAAATTAGTAGCGCCATGAGTCACTTTTTTCGAGTTCAAACGAATCTACAACATTCTTCCAAAATGAAGAAATCGTCTTCTGAATGCGAATGCTGATAACTACGCCCGACCATTGCCCGGTCGTGTATTTTTTTCAGCTCGCAACCGCGAGAGAACAAAAGAAACAAAAAAGAGCGTAGAGAGCAGTCCAAATATTGTCGTATGGCCGGTAAATAAATATAGAAAGGTGTCAAAAGCAGAAACAGACATTTAGTTGACTTTTTTCACTGATGTTCTATAGGGTTAGCAAAAATTATATGTTAAGACATTTTTTTTGATAAGAAAAAAGCTAAAATGAATGTTAGATCTCTGAAGCAAAGTGAATACCGGATTTAATTCGAATATGTGAAGGTTTGAAGCGCACTTTTTATTTATTTATGCAATTTTTATTCTGTATATGTATGTAAATATATTTTTTTGTACAAGATTAACGTCATACTAGTACTACTTAAAACTTAATTTACCTCAAATTTGGATTATATACATAAACAATATAAAATTAGTTTTTCCTAACTTCTAATTGTATCTTTTATCATTTCTAAAACTATATAAACAAGACGAAAAACGTATCCCGCGTGAACATTTTAAAAATGGTTTTAGGCCTCATTATTTATACAATTTGGTCCCTATTTCCCGTATTTTTCCGTAAACAATGCAAATTGAATACAGTTGGCATTACTTTATTATGCATGTAGAAGGAATAAAAAATCTCGCCTTAGAGTCTCAGGAATGTTTAGAAGTCTGGCTCCTATTGGGTTTTGACTACTAAATCGATTTTGCAAACCTAATTTAAAGAATTTTGAGGTATGAAGAGGGCTGTTATTCTCTTTCACTTATTTCTGAGTTCGTTTATCTGAATTTAGCTTGGATATATGAATGTTGTCTTTGCCATAAATTCAATTCCCTGTAGCTTACAAATTTTATGCATTGGCTGACCTTCAAGCACACCATCGCCATCAGCAAGCCGGCCACCCGCCTAATACCAACAACTAGACCATAAAATACAAGAAATACAAGACACGAAAGGCCATTACATTATGCAACTGCTGGTGCTGCTGTTGCCTCAGAAAAGGATATACATATACTATAAATGCTTATTATAAGACTAGAGTGGGGTGGGCAGGCATTCGCGCTAAATGTTTACTGCGTTTAATAACTATTTACTAAACTCCTCAAATCCTTTTGCAGTTGTCCTTATCGGTGATTCTGGTGTTGGCAAAAGTAATTTACTTTCACGATTCACGCGCAATGAATTCAATTTGGAGTCCAAGTCAACAATTGGCGTTGAGTTCGCAACGCGCAGCATAGAGGTGAGTAATGTGAAAATAAATCCACTAGTGGGTGTAACCGCATGAACAGACATAAATACATATGTACATAAATAGTTACATATGTATGTATGTCTGTGTAGGTCTGTCGTGTGCTAGAGATGTATGCGTGTCAAAAGATGTCGTTATTCCAGTAAACTTTCTAAAAGTACGCCGTGGATTACGCCTCGAATGTATACACCTAATTCTGTATTTATACGGTCTTTTTTTACACGATTTTGATAGAATACGGTTTAAAAATTGCATATATTTTTCTTTAGAGATAAGAAACCAATGACCTCTTTTTGCATATGATCAATGTCTTTTTTTACACGGCTGTTTCTGGAACCAATCTATCGTGTAAAAACAGAATTAGGTATATTGTTATAATATTTAGATATCAGTAGTTCTGTCTGTCTGCGCTTTTAGTTGTTTTGAGTTTCCTACTAAAATACAGAAAGTAAAATATATTTTATATATTGGCACTGATCAAGTAATATATAATTTGTCAGCTTTCTTCTTGCTCTCTAGTTCAAAGTATACTTTGCGAACCCACGTCGAACGCACATCTTTAGCTCGTTGTTTTTTTTCGGGGGGTCAACAACGTTGAAGCTTCTTTCGTTTATTGATTTTTTTTTAACGCGAAACTGCAAGCGTCCTCGTCTTGTACGCCCTCCTAACAAGAAAAATGTTGGCATCAAATTTGTTCACGGGGTCAAGGTGCTCAGTTCTGAATAACGAGGCTTACTGGAACGCTTCCATTTTCAGGTCGATGGCAAAACAATTAAAGCGCAAATATGGGATACGGCCGGCCAGGAGCGCTATCGGGCAATTACGTCTGCATATTATCGCGGAGCTGTTGGTGCTCTGCTCGTTTACGACATTGCCAAGCATCTAACGTACGAGAATGTGGAGAGATGGCTGCGGGAGCTGCGCGATCATGCTGATCAGAATATTGTCATTATGCTGGTTGGAAATAAGTCCGATTTGCGACACTTGCGTTCAGTGCCGACGGAGGAGGCAAAACTGTTTGCAGAACGCAATGGCTTGAGTTTCATAGAAACATCAGCCCTGGACTCGACGAACGTTGAAACTGCATTCCAAAATATACTCACAGGTTAGCAGAAATTATTCTCAATAAAGAACGAGAAATATTTCTATATCTATATTTATATCTATTATGCAGAGATCTATCGCATTGTGTCGCAGAAACAAATACGAGATCCACCGGAAGGTGATGTTATTCGTCCATCGAATGTGGAACCAATTGATGTAAAGCCGACTGTCACAGGTGATGTTCGTAAGCAATGCTGTCAGTGACCGCCTCAAGCAGCTGCATCCCCCCGCAACAAAAACAACAACAGCCAGAACAGCAACATTAACAACAATTGCAATTACAACAGCATAAGATGTTATTTTTTAAACAACAATCAGTTTGTCATATATGCATAAATCAAGAAAATAACGGAAGCAACCACAACATCCGTATATTGAGTTAACTACAGTTTAAACTGAATTTTATATTTCAAAAGCAGGTTACAGGCATATTTATCGCATTAATGTGTAAATTGCAATCGCGTCATGCCTGCAAAACTAAACACTCCACTTTCGGTTTAAACTGCAGCTTTAACTAAAATATACATATATATATTTAATGAAATATACATATATGCTAATATTAAAACTATTAATATTATTAATTTTCGCAACCTAAATAGTTGTATGTAATTCCCAAAAAAGCAAAACAAAAAAGAAGCTGAAAATCTGATTGTAGTCGCGTTAATTTCCAAGCAATTAGTTATAGAATATTTCGCGTATCACAGCCACACAATCTAGTAACAGATTTAATTATTATTTACCCCTTCCATGCCTCGTGACTATCCTTTCAGATGTCCTCAGATATGTTGGCTGCTTTCTAATAAAACATTCTGCATTAGATTTCTGTATAATTCAATTTCAAATTACATATAATTTGAAAATCAATATCTATATATATTGGTATATATACATATATATATATATATATATGTATGTAAAAGAAGGTATAATACATTTTTTACGTTTACAATTTCTATAAAATAAAATGAAAATTAAACAAAACGGATCTTACATTTGCAAAGAAATGTTTTATCGTAAAACAGGCATACATTTAAAATGCATTCAAAAACAAACGACAACTGCAAAACATTAAGAACAACAATATTTGTGTTTGCTATGTTAAGTGTGATTAAATAAATATAATTTAAATAAAACATATGCATAATAATATTATTTGATTTCATAAAACAATTGGGGGCTCACGTAAATAATACTTCCTTGTTTACACTTTTCAGCACTGTCAAGGAACTTTCTTAAACAGGTGGCAATCTAAATAGAACGTTGCGGGACAATAGTTAATTATTTTAAAATATGAATAAACCATCAATACCCCAAATCAATAAAGATGAAAGCACGATGCAGTTGCTTTAATCTATGCTAGATTTAATGAAGATTTCAGAGTTCGTCACCCTATTGATACATTAGTATACATATATTTAATCGGTGACTAAGTGATAAATTTAAGCTATTTTATTAAATACAATATGGATTTCTGACTGATTTTAACTAAACATGCGCTGCACAACTGACTTGTAGTGTGCATCGCTATTCTTCCAGCTAGTGGCAATGTTGTCACGCAATTTGCAGAATTCTCGTTTCTCCTCGTAGTTGGGCACACGTTCAATGGTGCGCTGCGCCTTCTCGAACTCCTTGAGATGATAAAAGGCAACGGCGCGTCGATATACACTTTTCTCGCTGGGATTCTCCAAAGTGTCCACAAAATCTGTATGATAGATAACATGCTCGTAGCGCTTCTCCTGCAGAAGACATGCCGCCAGATTGGTTTGTATTTGTACAAACAAGGCCTCTACTTCGCTTCCATCAATGCCATTTGATGCTTTGGTAAGTTTGTCAAACGGTTTGTAGGTAATTAGCAACTTGGCCGCCTGTATAAAGTAATCAAAGGCGAATTTTGGATAGTCCTTGAACATAGCCACCCCATTCGTTTTATAGCGCAGCGCCAGATCGTATATTTCAGCAGCAGTAAGCTTCTCCACCTGCTGATTGCTTGTGATTCGCTCCAGCTTCAGTTGAAACTCGATAATATCACCGGTCTTGGTTTCTATGCTGCACGTTGACGTCTCGCCTAATAAAAATTGTTGCAGCAGCAGCTCCAAATAAAAGTCAATGGGCGTTGTTGCGTTGCCCATTGTCAGGCTATGTAGTTGTTGAGCTCCATCTCCACTAACGGCCAGATATTTGCTTGGACGCGCACCCAAATTTAAGGGAGCTTTTTTCACGCTGAATTCCACGCTGCTCACCGGTAGCGGTTTGTCGAGACTGCTAAACTGTAGAGTCATTACTTTCTTAGACAGCCCCTTTGTCTTGTCCTGCCACACATTTCCAATGTACCATTCCATCATAATTTTAATTTTTAATAAACGCTGGAGCCCGGCCTACGCATTTGCAGCTGACGAGAGTGAACTGAGAACGAGTTGGCAGCTCTATTACCAGACTTCTTGTTCGTAATTCCTGTTCTTTTCAACACTGTTAATTCAAAATGAATACAATTGACAATTGTTTAATAATAGCATTTATTCACAATTCATTATATCTATATGTTTCCTATGCTAATCCAAATTGTGGCAGCTCTTTTAATATGTATTCAACAGGCTGCATTCGCATGAAACAAGGTTATTCGCACTTATATACGTTGGAAGTTTAAATACTCATACATTTGTGGTTGCTTACACAATTTGGGTTCCACTTAATTTGTATATAACTGAGCTTAACATAAACTATTAATGTTATATACATAAATACGTATCATGCATCAATTATGACCAATTCTTAGAAAATTGTATTGTAGCAAAAAGTTTATTGGTCATAATTAAAGATCTTTGCACAAACGACTTGGGAATTGGCTAATTTCTACAAATAATTATTACTAAAGGATCTAGTACAATAGCAGACCTAATGTCTTAATGCTTGGACTAAGGGAAAACATTTTCTTTCAAAATGGATACATACATTTAACCGATAGTGTCTGCACATCCGCACATAAGCTAGTACAAAATTAGGAGTTTCCACACACTTGCAATTAAATTCATATATAACTTAGCTGTTTATTGCCAACTTTTTAGGTTGATTTTAATAATGCTTACATTTTAGGCCTAAATATATAATTTATTATAAACTTTTTTCTTTTTTATACAATATTAACACAAACTTTAGGCAACTTTATATCAAAAAACCTATTACATTTAATTAAAAATGATGGTAAATTAAGTTACAAAATATGCATATGGAAAAGCTATTCTTACAAAACAATTTACTTTCGCCAATTTCGTGGTGCGCACGATCAGGACACTATATAATATATATGCAATATACGTTCATCTTCTATTTGATTAAAACTAATTTCACACAAATATGTATTAACGCAAATGTGCTTGCAGCATGTGAGCGATCGACTGGCCATCTTACAATCTCACTATGCCTAAGAATGTCTACTTAACTAATATATTGTTTCTGTTCATGTGCTTTGTTATGTTTTCAAACCTAACAGCCAATTCATGCAAAAATATCTTTTTATATATGTACTCTTGTAGCATTTAACTACTTTTTTTATAACTTAATTGATTCCTTTATTTTTTATGCATGTGTGTTTTTCATTTAACTTTCATGTTTTCATTTAGTTCGTTTTTTTATTTAGAAGCTTTCAGTATAAATTTACGCTCAGAGATCGCTGTATCTTGGGTTCATAATATTATAGACGGGTCTCAATGCTGTGTGTGCTGGCTAATTATCATTCCATAATTCATTTTCAAACAACTCGCGAATATTATAGTCATCATCATCATCAACATCGACATCATTTTCATCATCATCACCATTATTATTGCTGCCATCCTCGTCGCTTGATGAGTATAGTTGAAAGTCGCGGAGCTGCATTTTTACAAAATGTTAATGTTCCATAAGGGCCGCTGTAACAAAAACCATAGTTAGTTAACCGTTCGAAATGTAAATGTAGGTAGTAGAACTAGACTTACGTGATGGTGTGCGGCCTGTCTTATTTTCATTGGGTGTGAAATTGAGAAAGTCCCATATCAAAATTGTATCATCATGCGAGCTACTAACAATCTGGAACTCGTCGAATTGAAGTCGAAAAACTCGTCCAGTATGTTCCTGTTTGTGGGAAAAGGTATAATAATTTGGAAATGCACTGAAATTATTATCTTACCACAAGCGTATTTAGGCACAGCGTGTTGGAGGCGGCTCGCGGATCCAGCGCTGCCACTAAATCCCAAACCTTGATCTTGCCATCGTAGGCACCGCTGACAATACGCTTCGTATCAAAGCGTATGCAACGGACGAGCTCTTCGTGACCTTCCAAGACACGCAAACAAGCACCGCACTCAATGTCCCAGAGTCTGCAATATATAGTTCGGAATATAAAGATATGGAACGCGTAGAATGGTATTCAAAAATCGTACCTTATAGAGTTATCCGAACTGCCGCTGACAACCAATCGATCACGGTATTGCAGACATGCAATTCCACGCTTATGGCCATTTAGCGTTCGCACAAATTCACAGCTCGATGTCGACCAGACCTTAATGGTACGATCACCACTGGCCGAGACAATGTACTTCTCATCGAAGTCAACCACATTGACAGCGGCACGATGACCGACGAGGACACGACGCAAAGTTATTTCGCTGGGCGATGTCATATCCCAGACAGCAATGGAACGATCCTTTGAACAGGTAACCATCATGCCATTATTGAAACGCAAATGTAGCACCGCTTCGCAATGATGTATCAACGTATTGACCATTTCACCAGTATTGACATCCCACACACGCACCGTTGAGTCGGATGAGCCACTTATGATGACCTTGTCGTCGTATTGCAGACAAAGCACTGAGCCCGTGTGTCCCATAAGCGTCTGTTTAACGATTTCCGTGTAAAGTTGGCCATAAAAAGTGCATTTTATATGCAGATTATGATTGCCTTTCTTACCTTTACGCACTGCAAATCCGTGCGGTCCCATATCTTAATAGTATTGTCACGCAAACCGGACACTATTTTACCATCATCGTACTGCAGACAATAGACACCCTTTGAATTCTCCGAACGACAGTTGATGCGTCGCAGCATATGACGTCCGGTTCTCCAATTATTTTCTATGCTATCAATATCCTGCAGGTTAAGAAATAATTTAGTTGTTATATGATTAAGATGCTAATCAAGTCGGTTTCCGTTTGCAAATTCTGACCGAGTAAAATTTTTTCACTTAAGATGTTACAATTTAGATTTGAAGCGAAAGCATTAAAAAATGCTCGAGTAAAGGAAAGTTTACCAATTTAGAAATCGGAAACGGGAACAGGCCTCATTATATACAAGTATGAACTCACATTCATGATTTTGGGGAACAGCTCACGATGGAATGAGTGCGGTCGTTGTGTTTGCCCAGGCCGTGGCTTGAATAGAAACTGCATCCAATTGCGCCTCTCGGCCAGACCACGCCACAGCGAATCTGTGCGCACTTTTCGTTCGATGAGCTTCTTCCAGAGCTGGCCCTCGGAGATGACGCGCAGCCATTCTTTGCAAACCAATTCAGCCGATTTGAGAGATTCTGCATCCAAGTACGATAAAATATTTTCCGCAATGTGGTCCAGACCTTTTTCTACGAATGATATATATGATGTTATAGAATTACACGTTAGATAATCACTACAACAAAAACCTAGATTAATAGAAAGAACTAATACATACATATATTAAATTATCGCTGTGTGCCAAAAATAGACAAGAAGAAATGTTAAAAAAATTTCGCAACTACTTCACGCCTCTACAAAATGTTGATATCCTAAATGTTAATGCAGTCATATACGAGTATTAAACAGGAGTCGAAAGGGCTCAAGAAGATTCTTACGAAAAAAAAACTTCAGTTTTTATGGGATTGAAGTAACATTGTATTCATAAGCATTTGGTTTAAGCATATTAATTTAATTAACCATATCACTATACCATTCCAATACAACAAACTGCCAGTCCAGCTTAGTCAACTAACACAAATGTATTGCTTATGGTAACAAAATATGGGAATTCAAAGGAGACCAGTTTAAGATCTGTATTTTCTTTGCCCGTGAATTTGTAGCTTAGTGTCAAAACAATTATTTATAGAAGGCAACAACATTTCGACTATTTAACGTTCGTCATCTAAAATAATGACACATTTTACCTTTTACTTATACTTGACAAAATAACTAAATTTCATAAATATATATCAATGGTTCAGAAATAATCGCGTGATCAATAGAGCGAAGGGCGTCAGCGATAATTGTAAAATAGACTATCCGCCGCCAGATTCAACAGCTTCCCAGTTAGCCATTCGGCATTTTAATATATTAATACAAGTATAGCGTATTTTCGTCTGAGAAAATTCCTAAGCTCGTAACGTTAAGCGATTTAATGGATTTCCAAATTTGTCAAATGATTATCCAGTTCTTTGGACCATATAATAATTTATATTAATAACTTAAAACCCCAAATTTAAAGCCATCTAGGTACTAAGATAATAAATCCATTCCCGAGCTCCTAACTGCTGAAGAAGATTGATTCTTACACATCTATCTTCAAAATAAACATGAATAAATTGGTGTTGGAATAAAAAATACACTTTTAAAGGCTTACGATATATTAAGGTAGAGAAATTCTCCATTAGTAACTCCATAGTAACGTTATAAAAAAATTTAAAATAATAATATTTTGTTGTTGTAAGCAGCTATGATCCGTTGTAGAGGCTAGTAGTTTCCCGTGAAATTGTAAATACAGAAAGTTGTTGTGGAGGAAACTGGTAATACTATATACTAATATTTATTCCCTTACTAATTGCATTTGTGCTACCTGGAAACAATATAATGTTTAACATTTCTCTAAAGTCTGTCACCTATGTCGGCACTCCACCCACACTACATCAACCCGCAAACTGTTGCTGTTAAGTACGTACATATAACGGCATCGACCGGCAGCTCAAAAGACTGACTGACTGATAGACAGATACAGGCAAGAGCGACGCACCTAACGGCATCAAAAAACGATTCGGCTGAGGGAGTGGAGAAGACTTCTGCCTCTCCTTGGCTACCACTACAACCTCCACAAAACCCATCGACCGACTTACACGTACACGTATGTATGTATGTATGTATAGTATATCTATCTGTGTATATATCCATCCACTCGATTATTGTCAACATTGTGGGGCTAAGCGGCTTGCAATCGCATTGACAGGCGGCTGTCTGAAGTGCATGCGCTGCATTTCCCAAACACAATTAAAAATGTACATAACTCGCACAGCAGATACATATAGACAACGACTCCGGCGATTTGGCTCATGCTGTCAACGTCCTCGTCCTCATCATCCTCGTCATCATCTCTGTCGTCTCGTTGACTGGCCTTTAAGTGCATGCCTTACAATGTAAACACGGTTTCTTTTTCCTCTAACGTTATATACTTCTTAACCCTAATGCTGTTCTTCTTTGATGGCGGAGACAGTTTAACAGTTCAATCAAATTCTATTCAAAGCTATTAAAGACTTTTTATTCCGAAGAAACTGGCTGTCAAGATAAAAATTTAAGTGCAATCAATGCCTTAACATGCGAAGTAGTTGGTTTGATATCTTAGTATCTTTGATATCTATAATTATGCTCAAACCTTCATTTGGATTCAACAATATGTAAAAAATGTTATAAGGAATTTTCAAGAATATTAAAAAATGTTCAAATGGCAGACATTTTGTTCTCGAAGAAAGTTTCACGATGAAGAATCAACAGGAATAAGTTTGAGCCATGTATTGGGTATCAGTGAATGGCAAACCTACTTAAAACAGATAACTTTAAATTAAAACAAATACCGTGAAATTGAAGGGAAAGGTTTTAAAATCCAATAATCAAAAGTTGTTCTTTGAACTCTTTAAATCTGCTTTATATTGTACACTTATTGACCTCAAAAACTTGGTCAGCTATACGAAATTAAATAAATATAAAAGTTGATATTTAGATTGTGTAGTAATAGTTTTGAAAGAAATATTGAAAAATATTAACACAGGGATCAAATTTGGTTCAACTACTTGCGATAAAATATTAAAAAGTTTCCATCAAGTTCAATAATGAATTATTTCAGAAATGTTGGGATCAGCATCCACAATTGATTAAAATAACGGAACAACTGAATGATGCAAGATACACAAAATAATTTAAAAATAATACCAAAAGAGCGGAAAATATTAACATTCGCGATACTTTTCATTTCAATTGCTATTAAAGGAAAAAGGTGGACTTTACGTGAAGTAAATTGTCCTTAAAATTTAATTTCAATTTTATATTCAGTTTCACATTATAACTTGGGAACCACTGATAGCCAAAATCTAAATTGTTTGCAGGAATATAACCGATATATGAGTGGAGTTGTTTTAAGTTGCTGTGATAAGACTAGCTTTTCATAAAGTTCCACTATTGAATAGCCTTATGGCTTCATATTAATTAATATATGAGATAATAAGCTCGAACCTCTCAATAATTATCTCTAATGGTGATAATAATACAATAAAATGTTGTTTACCAACTATAAGCATACATTTTTTTCTTCCGTTTTTTGCTGACTTTATTAAACGCTTCAAAAATAAATTTTTTCGATAATTTTGTTAACGCTTGCAGTTTTTGTTTAAGCTGCTCGTTTTTTTTTTATCGTTGTATTTGTGTTCCGGCAACGCACGTTTTATGGAAGCAATGACCTTTGAGTCAACAAGCATACAGTGCCAACAACTCCAGCAAGAAACCCCCAACAGAAAAGCAGCACAGGGGTGGTGGTGGGGGAAAGTTGCACGGCAACAAAGAGGAAACAGTTAAGTAGCAAGTAGTTCGTTACCTTTATTTTACCTAACCTTACATTGAAGTTGTCCCTTTAGGTTCGTTGCTACCACTGCAGGGTATAATATACATTATTCACGATTAGGTTTTGTTGATTGATTTGTTCAGAAATAATAGATATCATTTTATATACTTATGTAGAAAAGTCGAACACTATACTTTTGAAATAATTATTCTTAACAAAAAAATAAATTGCTTGGCTTAGTTAATATACTATATTACCACAATTTGTGGTCGTTATGGTGTAAAATATACGTTCTATAATCTAAAAATGGGGGTTACTAAACTTCTTTTTCCAAAACAGTTCTCTCCCGATGCCAAGTAGACGATGCATGGCTTGGGCTAATTTAAAATTATGGTGTGGCGTTACTTACTTGGCAGCAACGTTATGAAGTCCCGCTGCAGCATTGGCTTTAGATAGGCATTGATTTGTCCGTGCTGATAGTGGCACATTCGCGATAATAACTGCTCCACAAAATCCACTTGACTCGCCTCGTTCCATTGGGTGAAGTACTGAAAGCAGAGTTCCCGCTCCGTCTGATATGTGGGCGATGAGTCTTTCTTGCGCACCGGATCGTACAACATTGTTGTTGTGAACTGATGTGTCCAAGCGAATGAAAAATTGTAGGAAAAGAGACACAAGTTAATTATGAAACGCGTCAGAAAATGAGTCAGAGGGCACACTCTTTAAAATGTTCAAAAGTAGGTTGTCTAGTAACAAAACTAAAAACTAAAAAAAAATGATAGCGTGCTCCGAAGTTGTGCAACGAAGACGGCCAACTTTTCGCTTAAGCAATTAACTTGAGCTTTACACGAAAGTGTTTGCAAAACAGATATGGTGTAAACTCTAACGACTAAAATAAAAATAAACAAAGACAAAATTAGATACATAGACTAGCATGAAAAATGGAGTGGCTGGTATTTGACAAACTTATCTCACCAAACTTCTTAATTAGTCTTCGGGTGGAAGGGAAAAAAGAATTCTAACAATTTTGGAGAATTTTGATTACAATACAAAACTTTTTATTACATACAATGAAGCTCAAAAAATTTAACTGACAAAAATGTTATGTCATCAAGCAAATATAAAAACTAGTAGGCTAGGATAATTTGTTAAAACATAAAATTGTTTTTAAAAGAACTATCATCTCCACGTCATTTCACGAAAATCAATAATGTATATGAAAGATCTTAGTTTCTAATATTAATTTTTGAATTAGGTCAAAATAAATTTAAATGTATGTATTTGTGTATCTTTGTAATGTGTGAAATAATTAATGAAAGTGATAGATTTTGGCAAACGATCTGTGCATCTCGATAAGTAAATATAAACATATCAAGTTTCAACCAATCAAGTGAGATTTGTGAAGGTGATTGAACAGCTATAAAAATTAGGTATTTTGATTACGAAATTACTTGAAGATTTGAAGCAATTGGACGCTGTTTATTTCTGTTAATTATAAACAATAAGCCAACAACAATGACGGATTTTTAGTAATTAAGTTAACTTCAATGTCAGCAGTTTTTGCGCCTGTATATATATTTTCGAGTGGCATTAAAGTTTAGATTCAGACCTTGTGAACATGTCTAAAGCCAGGCATACATACATACACGTACATACATACATACATATATATATAGGAGTTTATAAAAAATATATTATTTAAAACTGCAATGATATTTAATGCGAAAATGGCTATGCTCTGGACAAACCAAATTAAATTAGATGTATTTTTGGGGGAGAAAATGTTTTAATCCAGCCAGAAAAACTAATATCATTCAGTTGTGAAATTCCCACTTACGTATTTAAGGAAGTCAAGCCCTCACGACCAACACCTTCTGAGTTAAGTACACGTAGCCGCTGTTGCAATATGTTTATATCAATGAATTTAAAGCGAAACTACCTTGATTTAAGTCTCAAAAGTACAACAACAATGACGCAGTCAGCTAAGTTGTGCACGCCCAAACAAACTTAATTACTCGACTTAATTGTTGCCGAAATTTAAAAAAAATATATATAAGTATATATATATGTATGTATTTATATACAAATTTGGACACAAAAAATACATACATACAAAAAATTGCTATAGGTAGCTGTGGGTTTTTGAGCAATACTGACCTTCATTATCACACACATATCATATTTACGCCTAATAAAATAAATACAAACAAAGCAAAGCGACTGATTTTGTGCGACTTAATGTACGCAGAAAATAAATAAACATGTGCTACTATTTCATACATAATTGTGTAAATACACTTGATAGTAACAAGGCCAGTTAATTGAAAAAAAAAAAAAATAGATTTATTTGTTAAATATATGGCTGTATCCATGTGCGTGTTTCCATTTATAGTACCTGCCAAGCGCAGACTGCCTATTGCACTGATTGTGATTAAATAATTTATACCTATGAACCCTATAATGGATGCAAAAGGCGATCGAAAAAATCAAAACTATTATTCAGCATATTTGCAGAGCGGCTGCAGAGATTTGGCTAAAATTGACGATTGCGCCTGTCGCAGCATCAAATGCGAAAGTTTAAGGTTAAGAGAAATGAAAAGCAAGCGAGAATAAAAACATACACTCAATAGTATATATAGTATGTATGTATGCACGTAGGTATTATTGTACATGTGCATATGTACGTGCGTATAATAAATAAAAGCGACACCTTGAATATTTTGTAGATATATGTATGTACAATATATACAATATGTATGCTTCTATGTACACCTATACATAATGTATGTATGTATGTATGCTTTCAACATACACAAACACAGTCTGTGTCATAGGTTAATGATATTTACATTGTTTAATTATTGTATGCATATTGCATACTACAAATAAACTTACAGGTTGTGCGTTGGAGTTGTTAGTCTCGTCCATTTTGTCAGTCTCCATTTTCATCATTGTTTAGCTTGTGTTTTATTTTATATTTGTAACTATGTACTGGCTATTGGGCTTGAGCAAACGGCTTGCGTTTGCAACATATACGCGACACACACGCACTCAGTGATAAGGATTTTCACAAAGTTTTTATTTTATTGTAAAATGGTTGTATTTTACATGAAACGCGTCGCTATCTAAATTTTACCTTCGTCTCCTTAAAATGCGAACTAATTAATGAGCACGAGAGTACTAGAGCTGCCAACTTGCCCTAATCACTATGTTTCATTGGCGCGAATATTGTCGAACAGATTTAACAGGAAACACTTCTTCAATTCTGTCCGTTCTCATAAATATTTAATATATTTGCATATCAACTATCTGCGAATCCATTTCGGATTTAACAGTATTCATACAAATTACAATTTTATCTGCCAAGTGGCAACACGGAGCGGCGCAGCAACGTTTGCATCACCGCTTTCTCTCTCTAACACACTCGAAATGCTCTACGCTTTGGCAAGTCATTCCATTTTCTACTCCTATACATAAAATTATTTATACTGGTTTTACTATGTTAAATAGTGATGTGCTCTTGCCAGCAAAGTGCACACACTTCGAAACTTATTTAATATAAAGTCCGAAACAATTTTATTTAAAACTATACACGACGAACTGCACATATATTTTCGATTTTCTCACACATAAGCTTAGATGGCCGTAGTGCTGGCACGCTATCGATAAATGTGAGTACAAGCATTAGTATCGATTCCTCGCAGCCAAATAATGAACTTCGACTGAGAGAGCAACACTGGCCAGTTTCTGTTTGTGTCAAATGTTATTTAATTGATAAACTATTCTCAGCGAGAGGGGCGCGCTTCCAGATAACCTTCAGTCCTAATTTCAACACTCACATATATAAGTAAGTGACGATCGCCTCGCTTTCCACTCTTTCCAAAAGCTCCGCGTTCATTTTTCCCATTAAATGACCGCAGTTGTCACAATCACACCACCTTGAAGCTCTAGCTTTGAACAGTCTCATTTTAGTCAAAATTTGAAGTAGTTTCAAATTCTACTCATTTTTTAATTTCAGTGGTGCGCATTGTCCGTTGCCTAATGGCCTGCGAACGCAATCAGGATGTTGCCAGCTTCGTATGCAACGGCAAAAAAATTGTTGGGGTTGCATTGAACTACATGTAAAATATACCGACCGTTACTAAAAATGCTGAAATTGGTTATCATCATTATATGTCACACAGGTGTGCAGTGAAAGCGCGTAATGTGCCCGTGCCAACGGTACCATTGGTGTTCCTTAAGCCGACGACATCTTACCTAACCGAAGGCCATCCAATCCTTGTAAAAGGTTAAAAAAAAATTCGACCTCTACTTACTAATTATTTCTGCTCTTTAGTTGCCAAGGGTTTTTTCCAAAGTCGCGTATGAAGTGGAGCTTGGAGTCGTTATTGGAAAACGTTGCAAAAATGTGCCAAAGACAGATGCTATGAAATATGTTGGAGGCTATTGTTTGGCCCTTGATCTTACCGCGCAATGCAATTTGGTGAGTAATATATAAAAAGCTGTACAAAGTTTTCATGACAAAAAATGAACAGGGTGTAGCACGTTCCAGCGGCGGCCCCTGGACGCTGGGTAAAGGCTTTGACACCTCGACACCAGTATCACGTTTCATACCTTATGATGATGTAGACGATCCGCATACGCTTCCATTGTGGCTCAGAGTTAATGGCGAACTTAAGCAGAATGGTTGCACGGGCGATTTAATCTTCAAAATACCTGATATCATTTCTTACGTCTCGAAGTACATGACTTTAGAGCCGTACGATCTTATACTTACGGGAACACCTCATGGCTCAGAGCCATTCAAGGCTGGCGACATTATCGAATGTGGCATGGGTGATTTGGCCAAAATAAAGTTCAATGTTCAAAATGAATAGAACGGCGCATAAAATTAAAAGAAGTTGTGGCAAAATTGTGGAATGGTTTTTTTTTTTTTAATTAATTGGCAACAATCGCGACATCGTGTTCGTCTTTATCAATGCTCAACTCAAGCACAGCATCTTCCTCAACGGACATGCGTTCTTTTGAATCTTCTGTTGAAATCGATGGCAGCTTGTTCAGACTACCACGGGCGCTATCCGATTTGGTGGGACTGATTAGGTCATCATCATCGCTGACCTCCATTATCCCATTGTTATCATCATCATCTGCGTCCTGATCTTGCTCAGTTTCGCTTTCGGTTGAGGATGAATTATTGTCATTCTCCAACTGCTGTTCCAATTCATGAATTGTGTACATGAGCAAAGTAAAATCATTGCGTCGCTTCTGAAACTTGCGTTCCAATTTAAGTTTCTTGTGTGTTAACTGGTCGATTTCCTTCTTAATAGTTTCAATCTGTTTCTCCGTCTTTTTGCGGTCAGGCTGTTCAGCAATCAGTTCAGCCAATAGATCGTACTCCATTTTATTTTTACGGATTTGCTTAGCTATCACCAGTTCCTTTTTGCTTGCTTCAATTTCTTCTTTGGCCACCTCAATACTCTCCTCGTGCGCTTCTGCTAACTTTTTGTAATGCTCGCGCTCTTCACTGATCATCTTGAGCGTGTGTACATTTTTTAGAGCAGCGAATTTACACTGTGCGAATTGGGCCATTAGGCGGCCATACATTATTTGGCTGCAGAAAAGTATAAAATTACTAAACACCTGGGTAATTTGGCTTTGCGTCTTACTTTGTCTCTGGAGATTCGTTTTTAGAATTCGCCCACTTAAGAAATTGTTTTAACAACACATTGAGACGGCGGTCTTCGCCAGTGCCGTCGCCATCGATCAGCAGGCGCTGTTTTATGATTTCCTCTGTGAAGACGGTTGTTTACATAAAGGTTTATACGATTAAATTTAACACTTACCGTCGTTCATATCAAGATTTTATTAAAATATTTCCTATAAATATAAAATATAGCCGGCACTACCTAAAATAAAACTAGAGATGTGCCAACCGCTTCTTGATAACTTATCGATAACTAGCACTAGTCAGTAATTAAAATACAGCATTTAAAATTGCTCAATGAATTGTTTATTACTTCTAATAACCATTAATTACTGTTGTGCACATCATCACATGCAATTAAATATTTACGCATCGACTCACACTCGTCTGAGTTTTTCCATTTAGACGATGGACAGTTTTCATAGACTTGCTCCATAACGCAGGCAAGTAAAGTAGCAGGATAATAATTGCAGTCAATGTTCACGTGCAGCCACTCAAACTCAACAGTTCGTTTTTGGGCTGCAATGAATTATCAATTCCTATTAATCAGGTTGCAGTTGACAAAGATTACATACCATAGTCCACACAGCTGTTAAATGCTTCATTCATTACTTTCGCTAGAACAGAATCGTTCTTGAAACGTTGCTTTAAGTCTTTTTGAATTGCTGGTAGATCAGCCGAGCCATTCGACAGAAGGTAGCCGCTACTTTTAAACACGCATTCCGCAGTACACTTAAAAAGTTAAATAAGTTAGAATACAAAATTTGTTTAAAATAATATTTTCCTATAATTACCGCGTTTAGTGCCAATTTATTTTCATTCCAATTTGTTGTTTTATTTTGTCGAATTATAGATTTCCTGCAGGACTTGCTGATCTCACTATATATTGGTATTTTACAGCACGAGCTCAGCTGCACAATGAAAAACGAAAGTAACATTAATTAATGTAATTTAGTAATGTAATTTTTGGGGCTTATTTTTTGTACCATTTTAGGTTTTTTGGCCTGATCACAGCTGGTATAATTGAATGCATCGGCACCAAAAACAGACCACTGAAAATAAAAATAAATAAAATTATCAATTTATTATTATTACCTTCTAGAAACAATTACCAAAAGTAGGAAAATTAGCAAACTTGAATTCATCTTGTTTGGTTGATAGCCGACTGAAAACTGCTTGAGGTGTGTGTGAACATTTTGATGTAGTAATGAACAAATTCCATTTATGTATTTTATCTACTTAACTGTGCGGAACAAAAATCATTACCGAATATTTAGCAATTAAATTTGTATAAAACCTATATACAAAGATACGTACATATATCAAAAACCAACCTTTAGTTTGAATGTGATTGGTTAGGATTTAGCTGCATCGTATTGCCTTGAAGGAAACTTGATCTAGAACCAAATACTTAACTCTGCCAACCATTTTGAGTATCAATAATTTATACTGTTAAATTCAATTTAAATAAATGAGTTGTCATCGAATAAATATCGATTATAGACAGTTTTTATTTATGTATCGTTTTTTACGTTCACCACTGATGATGGACGAAGCGAGCACGACTTCAAGCGCGGTTTTATATCAGGGAAATGCTGTATTCCGAAATCAGCCTTCCTATAAGATATTCAACAAATCTTTTGAGCATGTAGATGACACCCTTTTCGCATTTCTTAATGACGTCAATCACGAAATACTCAAGGAGGAGGTTAAAGCGCCCTCGCAAATCTTCACGTGCTACAATTGTCCGTTGGAGGATCCGCGGACTGGGAAGCCCGTTATCAACAGCTTACATGATTATGCCAAAAAGAAACAATCGGTAGCGTTCCCAAATCCCCAAGGCCATTATTCCAGTCTGACTAGGGAACAGCAGTCTGCCTGTTTGCGTGTTCTGCTAGCATGGAAGCGAAATAAGCCACTCTCCGAAAATGATTTGGTTATATGGCAACAAACGGAAACTATACGCAGCAAGGAACAGAAGTTAGTTCAGGAGTACATCTCCAACTATGCACGCACACAAAAGGAGCTTCTATATGAGCCTATAAGGCGTCTTGTGAGTCTTTATAGAAAATGGTATGAACAGCAAGTAAAATTACTTCAGCAACTGCCCAATTTTGAAAGGAGCTATGTGACATATTCTGGTTTTCCGCAACTGCAACAATGTAAAAGTCTAAACAATCAAATAGCAGATATAGAACACGTACAGCTGATCCAACGTACAGGTGAAGTCCGTCTATGGCCAGTAGTAAAGGTGACCAAACAAGAATTATACACATTGCACATAAGATTGGAACGCTATGCCAGCGTCGTGGGAGCTGTAAATACTTTTGAGGACAACCATAATAGAGAAACTGAGGCAGACGTGTTTGTGCTTCCTCTAGAATCATTGTTAATGCTGCTTTTAGCTGGCTCTTACACGGATTTGCCAAAGGAAATGTTGTTGAAAATACATCAGGCCGAAGGCAGTGATTACAAATGCATTGAGTTCAAAGACCCTTTGCCGGCACGCAGTTGCGGATGGCATACGAATAGTGCTGTGATAAATCAAGCCTATCGGGCATACTCCTCACAACCTGGACAGGCACAGTGGGTAAGGTTTGCGGACAACGGGAGCGTAAATGTTTTAAACGATATAGCTAGTCTCGAATGTGATGACAGTGAGCGCCACTTAAATTTAAACGCAGAGTACAAATTGCAATTATGTGATTTAAATGATATTTGCACATCTGAGCTTAAAACCAACTCGGCGCTCATTAAATGGCGCCTTAACTGTGCGAACACGGCCTATGACGGGCAAAACTTCATAATGTATACAAGCCTAGAAATACCAGCTGTGCAGGATAGGACAGCGAATCAGGCAGTAGGCTGTCACTTAATTAAACTGGAAAGCAAGTCTGAATGTGGCTGTGAGATAATGACCAAATATGAGCTGCTAAAAGCTTGGTTACAGCTAAAGCTGTTACAGTCCAATGTGGGTCTTTGCACACGCATATCATTGCACGGTTTCACTCCTTTGCTAGAGGAACAGTTGACTGTGGAGGGATTAGAACAGCAGCTGCGGGAATGCTATCATATAAATATGCCACAGTTTCTTTGCAATTTCTACGAGTTTCTAAAATTATTGCGTTCAGTGCCAAGTGGAGATTATGTGTTGCGATATACACAAAAATACAAAGATAAATTCTTGCTCTGCAAGCCAACAGTAGGGAAAACAGCGCACAGCTTTAAATTGTCTGATTTGTTAAATGAAACTCCAACCGATGATAATTTCTGGACTGATAACACTAGTTACCTCCCAATTTCACCAACACTCTGCAGTCGCATGCATGAGGAGCGAAACTTATTGCCTCTTGCCTTCCCAGTTCAAAAGAAAGGTGCGAAACCAATACAGCAGCCAATAGCCGTAAAGGTGCCACCAAAAAAAGTTCAAGCAAAAACACAGGCGCGTATAAATTACAAGAAGTCGAAGAAATCAATTTACCGAGCGCGCAGAAGGGCAGCAGCCAGAGCGGAGGAAGAGCAAGACAAAGCTCTGGAAAAGTTTATGTGTCTTTGAGGCAACAGACAATTTTCACATATTGTATTATTGTATTGTATTATAATGTACAAAATAAAATAAGATACAAATTTACTTTGCATGTGTTTAAGGTCGTATACTCAGCGCTCTTAGTTCTGCATCGATCGTAATTAGCTCTTCCTCACATACTTTTAAAGGTGCCGCATCACGCCTCCAAAATTCAGCATCATCTGCTTTGGGCAAGTTTTCTGACAGAAAAACGTGCAGTGACAAATCATTAAATACATTGTTCTGTTCGTAATCATCGTCCAGTGGTATTTCAGTGCAGTACGCTGCTATTCTTGCGATATGATCGTCGTCGTCGTCGTTACCGTTGCTTTTACTCCTCGATCGCGTTAGAGGTTTTTTTATATTTAACATTTCAAAACTATTTGAAATTAATAACACATTCGGCAAGTTGCTGAAATTCCAGTTATACCACAATAGATTGTGCATTAAAGCATGCGGACAGTGTGGAAGATAGTAAAGGGTTGGCACATTCGCCCCATGCTGCCCAGCGCAGTCCTCTGGCATTATTATGCCGTTGAAGCGTCTAAGTAGCTCCATTTCTGACTCGCGAAAAACCGGATCAAAGTATATGGATTCTTTAATTTTGTGCAACCGCTGTGTACTCAATATAAATGCTGTTTGATGCAATGCCTGGTGAGTGCGGGTAAATGGTCCCAAGCCTAGACAAACAATTCGATTTAGGGGCGCCTTCAGTTTGTCCAGTTGCTGTTGCAGAGTTTCCATTGACATGATGAAATAGTCGCTCTGGCTCATTACTCCACAGAGCTTCTCTAGACGCCTAAAGTAAACCAAGACATTGGCTTCTGATGTTATAAATTAATAACCTTATTAATCACTCTTACTCTTGGAATTTGTCAACGTTCACGTCCGGACAGTCATTTAAATAATCACTCTCCGATTTGTGGCGATCCCGACGTCTCAGACATTTACGTGCCATCCATTTCTTGCGTGTAACATATTGAAACTCAGACTCGGACATAAAAATTTACCAGTATGTACTTGTAAATCGCAATAACAATATTGTATTCCTACTTGTCGTTCTCAATGACGATAGTAAACGCGATACATATCGGCAGAAGAGAAGAATTTTAGTTATCGAAGCTAATCAGCTGTTGTTGCTGAGTTCGTGTTTTAGTTTTCCTTAATTCAACACGATAAAAACAATTTAACAGAATGAATGATCCAAACAAGGCCATAAGCGTGAACCTTTCTTCATTACTAAGCTTGAAGACCGAGCTGTTGCGCAAACAGCAAGAAGTCAAAGTCGCCAAAGCCACAAAGACGTGTGCCACTGACTTTCGTCCTACCAAGAATTCAGGCGCCAAGTCCAGCAGCAAGAAAGAACAGGAGCACAGGTACAAGGAGGTCAGTCGTGATGATAACGCAAAGGTGTATGAAACTGAAGATGCTGGACAGTTGGAAAAGTCTCGGCGTGTGCTGGAAGCGAAGAGTAAGTTCTACGATCGTATGAGTCGTAGCGGAGGCAGCTTAAACTCAGATGACAATTGCCTGGTTATGTTTAATCGTAAGCGGCAGGAGGAAGCGCAGTCTGAGGATCAAGAACAGGGCTGCGCGCTGCGGGAACGTTTAAGCAGCTCTAGCAGTGATAGTAGCAATGCTCATGACGAGGGTAACGACGACGACGAAGTCGAGTACACAGATTGCTTGGGACGCACCCGCAAATGTTTGCGCAAAGATCTGGCTGAGGCAAAGCGACGTGACAAGCAGCTAGCGGAGAGCATGCCGGAGCGCTTGGATCAAACAAAAGCAAATTGGATGATTGACGTTAAGGGCGCCCAATCCAATAACAGCGATGATGGCGAAGCAAATGATGAGCCAGATTTTGGACCGCGACCTACAGAAAGCGTTTGCAGCGATTTGCTGTCAACTATGACAAAGCACGATGAACAGCGACTTAACTGGGAGCGTCAAGAGCAAGAAAATTTCGATAAGATGGATGTGCACTATCAAGATGTTTTCTTCGATGAAGCACGAACACATGGTGTGGGCTACTATGCCTTTTCGACGGACGAGGCGGAACGCAAGGAGCAACAAAAAAAATTGGAAGAAGCACGAAAAGCCACACAAGCAGAGCAAGCTCGTCGAGATGCGTTGCGAGTTCAACGAGATCGACTAGTGGCCGATCGCGTATTAGCGGCTAAAAATCGGTTGCGTGCCCGCAATGGGTTACCCCCCATTAGTAAGGAAGAGTACGAGAACGAGCAACAGCTCAAAGCATCAGAAGCGGCCACAGACGTAGTGGAAAAAGAACGTGAACGTGAGAAGGAGCAGGAACTCAAAGAGATAAAGGCACACGAGGAAGCTATACGCGACGAGCTTCGCAAGGCATACGTACGTGACTGGGACAAGGATAAGAGTGGTGTGGCAAAACCTAAAAATGTTGACGACGAATCCACCGAATGGAAATATAAGGCAGAGCGCTTGCCCATGTCACAGGAGCAATGGAATGAGAAACAGCGCACCCTACGCCAAAAAGAGTTCGCACCCATGCCAGAGGCAGATCCGACGCCGCTAAAACGCACAAACTTTCACAGCGCTGCTCCCTCGACTTCATTTTGGACGTCCAACGCAAGCGAGGACTTCAGCATGTTTCATTCCACGAAACGCGAGAAACAATTTCAGCGGCGCAGCTATCAGTCGGCTAACGAGTATGACAATGATGCCAGTCCCACAACATCACAAGCAGCTGGAGCTACAATACCTCCCCCCGATGACCTCGATGCAGCCTCCAATGGACCACCCGAATCGAAGCGTGCCAAATCACAGTCAGAGTTGGAACGCTCCATTGAAGCGGGTCTTAAGTTTCTGCGTAAATATTGTGATAAAGGCGTGGTGGGCAACAAAGGTACTTGGGTGGCCAAGGCAGACTACTAGCCCTAGCGGTTGGTCTGTAATTTATTGCGTTTGCTTCTGGTAAACAATTTTTTATAGAAAACATACAATGCATACAATTTATAAATATGTATATTGTACACATACAGCTCACTACATATTTCTATTGCCCAAATATTGAGCTAAATGTACACATGTTTATAACGTAGGCTAAATGGCTAAATTAATGTAACGTACATTAATCTAAGTGTGTGTTTCAAAAATGTCTGGAAAATGTCAAATGTTCCGTTGCATATCCAAAAGGCGCAGCAATTAAATTTTGAAAATGTAACTGCGAATAAAGCAGCTGAATATAAATTTAAAAGTACATATTTACTAAACTTGTGTTGGCTAATTAAATACTAGATACTATACTTTGCATTTGCTTTAAGTCTTGCGCGCTCAATCGTTATAAATAGAACGACAGTTAAAGTTAAATTATTGGCTACAGCTTTTAACATATTTACTGGGTAGGTATTAAGTAAACTTAGAACGTATGGAGGTTTGGCTAAATACTCCATAGAGCAATTGTAACGGGCCTTTTATCTGTTATATCGCTGGCCGACCCTAAAGCATTTCACCATCGACCATATCTATGACAATCTCTGACATTTTCTGGCGACACAAATCATTGGGCGGAAAGTTTAATTCGGGCGCGCCGTCCTCTGCTAGTTCATCATTGCGATTTAAATACAAATCGGGTGCATCCTCCGAGGAACAAGTGCTAATGGGTATTATATCCAAAGCCAGGCCCAGCGCAAAGCGACCAAAAGTCTTCAATTCGCAAGCAAAGCTGCGCAATAGGAAATAAAATGAAATGTTGATTACGAAATCACGTTAAAACGTTAAACCTACAGTGCTTGAAATTTGTCCAGGGTGTTGCAATGATCAGGCAAGGTGGTGCATAAAATCTCCAGCCATCTGTAGAGCTCTACAGTGTAAACTTTCAGCAACGCCTGCAAGTGGGCGTCGCGCATCTTTTTCGTAGTACAGCAGTATAACAAATTGGCAATATCCAGTGCTATGGAACTGTAGCGTATTAATTGAAAGTCCACCAGTGCCACCTCCAGAACACGCTCGTGATCCCCTTCATAGCGATACAGGAAATTATTGGCCCAGCAATCGCCATGACAAATGGCCGATAATGGTGATTCGGCACTAACCAGATGCACCATCTGGCCAAAAAACGAGGAGCTTTCGGCAAAGTCTCGCAAGGCATGCAAATATTTTGAGTCTGCGGGTAGCACATCGGATACCATTTTAATGGCATTTTTTGACAGACGTTCATAATAATTCTTATACCAGCTGGCATTGGAGGCACAGAATAGACCCTCGCTAACCATGCTGCACATTTTGGCGAATTTCTCGGGATGTTCGAACTTATAGCCCAAGCTGAGCGCGTGAAATTGTGCTACCTGTAGCAGGACAGCTTCTGTTTCCTCAATACTCAGTCCCTTGATGCGATCCGGCATCTCAAAGCCCCGTATGCGCAGGTCCTCTGTTTAAATAATAATTTACAAAGCATTAATTAGCGTGGTTATAGATTTTAAGAGCAACCAGATGAGCGCCAAGAAAATACAGGCGTTTACATAGAAAACGGAATCGTCGGGCTGTCTAATAGTTTTTAATATTGTAAAGCGAAAAATTAAAATAAAAAAGTAACTTTTTGCGTTATTTTAACAACTTTATTCTATAAGCAGTCAATTTGAAAAGCAGTGACCAAGAGATAACAAAATTTACAGAAAGCTTGCGGGGTCTTAAATACATATAAACATAAAGGAAATAGCTTTTAATGCCTTTTCCAGGATTATATCTTAGTTAAAAATATACTTTAAACTAAATAAAAAAAAAGAAAAAAAAATGTTTGCAAAGAATTCAACAATTTACGTAAAGAAGCAAACATGGATGCATAATAAAGAATTAAAGTTAAGAAATATGAATAATTATAAATTAATAAAAACAATCAGTTTAATAATATTAGACTATAAACTTGCCATTCTACCGGATTGCCTCATATAACACTTACCCATAATAAGTAAATCATTTCTTGCGGAATAACATTTGGGTATGGAGTTAAAAAGGGGCGCTTCTACGCCCGTTTTGCTGGCCTGAAATTTGAGTAGCTCTGGTATTATAGTTGTGTAAAACTCCACCTCGTTGCTGTTTGGCAGATATACATATATGTGAAGTATATTAATTAAGATATTTTTGTTTAAATATTTTCTAAAAGGCTTACCGAAATAGATTGTCGCTCTTGTACGCCTCACGTCGCACCACACTCTCAGGCAACACCTTGCAAATAACATTCAGTTCCCATTTACTCTCGTTAGCATCCTCTAAATTTTGTTGTTGGCCGGTCAAGTGTATGCGATATAACGATGCCGTATAATTGTCACCACGGCCGGAACCCGGAGCTAACTATAATGGCAGAGACAACATACTTATATATACACACACATATATTTTAATATATGTAAGCTTAGGCGTACCTCAAATGAATTGATTTGAACATTTGGTTCAACATGTTTAAATATTTCCCGAAATTTGTCCAAAGTTAAAAACTGTTTGCTCTCAACAGTAGACGCCACAGTCGGATTATTTACCGCTCCTGTACTCTGTGGTTCTGTAATCCCCATTTTCAGAGCTTTACAAAATGCGGTAATTGCTGCTTTTGCAAATTGTTCAACCGCCACCCCAGCAACGTTTGGTATGATTTACAGCTTTGTGTGTGGTAACTAGTTGACCGGAATTCGAATTCTCCAGAGTTTCTGTTAGATTTTTAATTCACTCTTGTCTCGAACACTTTCATAAGGTCATGCGGAACTTTGGATACTCGTAACGTCGCTGCAGTCAGTATTTTTTCTACTTTTTATGAGCAGCGGCACCACTTAATGACGTGACGTTGCCGCAGCTTTTCTGTGTTGTTCGCGTAATCGCCAAGTGACAGTGGAAATGGGGAAACGCATCAAAAACTTTGCTTTTGGCATTCATTCATCGATTTTGCGAGAAAGCGAACACATGTTTTCTCATTTTATGCTGCTCCTTTGTGTCCTTTGAGCTTTATTTTGCCCAACTGATGGCAGCACTTTCGACGGCGCTGCCAGCTATATGGAAAAATGTGTTTGGCGCGAAAAAAATGTTTAAAACAGACTGACAAGTTTATAAAAGCTCTTTTGACACATGTTTATTTATTTTACACACGTAAATATTTTGGTTATTCAATTAAGGTTTTTTTTCTAGCACATCAGCTAAGCTAATAGTAGATTACAAATTTAACTTAAATCTTTCTCGATTATATGCTCTTTATATTAAACATAAAATTTAAATGTTACATATGTTAGTTTGAAAGTTTTTCTTTCATATAGTCCATAATAAAGATGATGTAAAGTGTATAAGTTTGTAGTTATAGTTGAGTTTTCAGCTTACAAAATTGCCTAAAAAATTGAATATACATACATATATAATAATTATTTTATTGCGTTTTTTGCTCGCACCTAAAATTGTAATTTGAGAAATGCCACAATATTGTTAACATTCTATTTATCCTTTATTATCCAGCTAGCTTAAGGCGTTTTAAACGCCATGACTAAGAATATGTTTTTTCTTTTGTATCGGGTAGGATTGCCTTTTTTTTTTTTTGAAAAATTTGAAATTTTTAATGGCAAAGTATACAAATTTATAGGATAAATTATATATATGTGGAATAAGTTAAAGAAGAATAATATGGAAATAATAAAACATTTAATATCAGATACATTTTTTTAAAAGAATTCACAAAATGTTAAAATTAATTAAAGTTAATAATGCCGTTTTTAAAATCAACTGATGAAGGAAATAATTTAAGCATTTGTGAATTTCCTACCCGGAAGCAATGATTTATCGCTTGCTTGTATTTATTGCACAAGTAACGCCCCTTCATTGTTCCCCTTGATGGGCCTTTCCAGCTCCCATGCCCAAGTCCTGCTGCAGTTCGGTAGTCGGCGGCAATGGTCGCTGTGGCCAACTTCTACGTTGCAGGAGGGATTGTCCCTGTTCCAGCTGTTGTCGCAGCTTTGTTATCGTTGGATAAATGTGCTGCTCCACAAATTCCGCCACTGTGTGATCATCGTACACCTCCCAGAGCAGCTGTTGGGCCTCACGCGCCATCGTCAGCAGCTCCTCGATGAGCATTGGCGTGCGTGCTGTCAATTCACGCACGCGTAGAGGCGAACTGAAGTTGTGCCTGATATTATAATCGGACAACCAGGCGCTGTTTTCACGTGTCTGCTGTAAATACACCCCCACTTCCATCAGCTTATCCTGCAGGCGCAGCGCATATTTATAGACCAAATGTCCAGGATAATTGCAGACCAAAAATAATTGACTATGATGGGCATTTGGGTGCAGTTCCAGCCAAGCATGGCCCGAACGACGACTATCCGGCTGAAAGACGCACTGCAGAACGCGTAAAAGTTCATTATCCTTGGGATTGGTGCTAAAGTAACCTTTGGCCACGGTGGACAGTGAGGTCATGAGGCTGGGTATGCCCACAGGCAGCAGTTCACAGAGCACCGCAAAATGATCGTAACGCTGCCAACCTGTCAGCGCCAAGCCACGCAAGCCCTTAGAAAACCGTCCCCCCTCCTTGCCAATAACAGCGAGCCAGCGAATGTTGTTCTCCAAATGGCGCTGCAGCGGCGGCACCAATAGACTCTCGCCAAAGGCACCCTTGAAGGCCGATGCAGCCCAGGCCCCCGGAAATACCTTTGCATAGGTGTCCCACAATTGGGGCTGTATGAAATGATAAATATCGCTTGCGTAGACCCAAACCATTGGCTCCACATAGCTGCCTATTTGTGAATTCTGCAGCTCACTCAACGTCATGTCTCGCAGCATATCGTCCCAGATGATGACCTTTATATGTGGAAAGCGCTGCCGCACAAAATGGGCCAAGCTGATGACATGCGTCTGAAAAATTTCACTGCGCATGCGCTGCCGGCATCGTGAGCATTCACCCATGCGCTGCACCTCGTCGCAGCCGATGTGCAGATGAGTGAACTTTAGAGGCAGTTCGGGAGTGGCCTGCGTGGCATTCCCCGGATGCAAATGGAATTCAATCACTTGGGTCAGCATGTGCTCCAAAAAGGCCAGACTTTGCGGCTGGCTGGGACAAATGGATTGCGGACTCTCGGGTATTTCGCGCAGCTGCTCGAATTCAGACAATTTCAGGGCGTATTCCAAATGGCCGAATGTCTGAACGAGCGGCATGATGCTGAGTCCATGCATGGCGGCAGTCTCCAGAAAGTCCTACAAATTGAAAGGGGAGAGGGCGAAAGAGGAATGATAGCATTTACAAAATATTAAGAGCAGTAGCAATTAAAATAAAACAATAATTAACTGTTTTCTTTAACAGAATTTTGCGCAATATAGAAATATTTATTATGTTTATAAAGTTAACAATGTTCAGAATAATGCATTAGTCTTCATGCAGAGATAAGTAAAATAAAGAATTAAAATTACAAGAATGTTTTTTGAAACTTTAATATTTTTAATCTAAATATTATTTCTCATTTCGACGAATTTAAGATATTATATATTATATTGACTTAAAATAAAATTGATATAAATTTAAAAACTTACCCTCAACTCATCTGCCTTGTACGCATTCCCCGCCGCTAGCTGCTGCAGTGCACCCGTAAAAGGAAACATGTCCTCGTACTCGATGAGCAGACCCGTGGCGCCCAGACTGCGCAACATGGGCAGCATTTGCTTAAGGAAGCTCAGCTTGGGGGGCGCACCCTTGAGATCGAGATGAACTAAGCGCTCTGGCGGAGCACGAGGTCCATCCGGTCCAATATTGGCCACCACGGGCACACCCATGCGTTGCAGTTCGTTCTCGTACTGAGTTTGTCGCTCCGCTGAGGTCAGCATGCGCTCATCATCGGCACCATCATCCTCCATGTTGGCGTTACGCTGTCGGTGCTGCTGCTCGAGTATCTTAAGACGCTCCTGCTCGAACAGATAGCTCTCGCCAAATGGGAGGGCGGGCGCTTTTTTGCGTCGCGCGCTTGTTAGTGTATTCTCTGCGGCTGTTGATGTGGGCTTTAAGAAGCGTACAATGCCCAGTGGATGTGGATGAGCTGCTGAGCTTAGTTTGGCACTCTCGGTCTCAACGTTGTCCTTTAGACGTTCGGCTCGTAATATACGATTTGCCTGAGCGATGAGCTTTTGTATTATATAGGCGTGCTGATAGACCGGCTCTCGTTCCTACAAGAAAATTAATAGATCTTAATTAAAGCATTTATAACTAATTATTTTATAATTCCTTACTACAGAAAACCTAATACATAGAGAATTAAGATGTGGAATTAAATGGTGAAAACGCATTCTATTTATATTTGAAATTCAGAAAAATACTTAATAACAGACCGTTCTGGATTATCGCTGGTGCATCTATGATTGACTATGATTTATTTTTAAAATTGCGTTCTCAACTCAGCAACAGACTGTACTGAAGCTAAGTCTATATTAATTATAAGCCTAAAAAAATATTAAATTGATTCCGATTTAGCATTCAAATAAGATCAGTGCAGCCTTTAATTGAGTTCTTTATACAAATTATTTCCGATTTACAAGTAGTCTTCAAAAACGATGAATGCAGTGTTTAATGAAGTTCTTTATACTATTACTTCCTATATTTTTAAAATAACAGAATCGCTTAAAGATATATGTATTTATGTGAGTAGAAATAATTCACACTTACATGGACTCCAGAAGCGGCACTGTTTTCATTCGGTGTGGTGGAGGATGCTGTTGCTGTTGTATCGATAAGTATAGCCCAGGTCCAAAGAGCGAATAATATGAGGCCCGATGCCAGCAGAAGAAATGAAAGTTTTCTACGCCAAATAAATACCAGCAAGTTCGAGTGCATCTGTGAGCAAAGGGAAAAGCTCATCAATATTATATTTTACATTAAATTTAATATTCGAATTCAATTATACAATCCGAGTAAATGGATTCAAAACGGTTTTAATCATAATGTCTTCACACTTTAGATGGCACCTACATGTTTTTGGATTTCATAGAAACAATTTTATTGAAATCCTGGCAATTTTTTTAGAGCACATATTAAAAAAAATTAGTATTATTATATCAGCTATTTGTGTTCAAATTGCTGCGGTTCGTTACTTAAGTACTTCTTCTTATGAGAAGCGCAGAGGAGAGCGGTGTTTTTAAAGTCACTTTGGATAAGTGCTTTATATGAGAAGCGCGCAGGTTTTAATTGAATCGTCAACAGTTTTTTAATTTAATATTATAGTTTATTAGTTTATCTATTTAACATAACTAAATCCACTGTTGCGGCTTGGTGGAGTGCCTCTTAGTTAGTAGTGCTCAGTTTTTCTTAATTTGATAAAATCAGTTATTTGTGTGTAAAGCTGCTTCGATTTGGTACGAAAAAGTAAAATATTTAAAACATTCAACAGCTGACCATTTGTATAATTTTATAAATTTGTTTGTTAAGTTTTTTTTTAAATTTGCATAAAAAATATATTCGTTTCAGGAATATGTGTACCTTGCAAATATTGGCTCTACTGATCTCAGTATTTTATATGCAATTTCCACTACAACTGCATTGCTGAGCTTTGTTGTTATTGTTGTTGTTCTTGCTCCAGTTTGCGTAAAGTACTTATTTGCTGCCACAACAACAGAAACAACAACTAGCTTGTATCACGTTTGCTTTTTATAAATATTTGAGATCCAACAAGTAGCCCCCGGAGTTATGCAATAAATTCCGCAAGTGAGTTGAAAGGAACTACGTTACTCATACGCCACATTGGGCATCTTGTTGTGGCGCCTCATTGGGGTTAAGTGTTGCTGCCGCTTGTCTGTCTGCATGCGTCTGTGTATGTGTGTGTGTATGCCTATGTATGACTGCTTCATTGCCTTCAGCTACACCTTGTTTGTTGGCATGTTCGTACTCTTGTTTGGCACTGAACGGGCGCTGTAATGGGCCAGCGAACTATTTTGCTCGTAAATAGGCAAAACTGGTAGCTTATTTAAATAAGTTTTTGCAACCATAAAAGCTGCACACGTTGCTCCTCAACAAACACGAAATTGTGCAGCAGCTGGTCGAGAGAACTCTTCAGCTTGAACAGACAAATGCAGGTGCTTGAGTGGCAATGCGTGTGAGTGGGTGTGGCTCGTTTGTGGGTCTCTGCTGTGCAACTGAAATTAAATTAACTTGTGAGTGGCTGGGCACCGAATAGCGAGTAAAGTTTGCAGCAATGCGCTTTTCAAGTCTTTGTGGTCATTTAATGACACTAACAGACATTTACATCGGCCTATAATTAATTGCCAATAAAAGAAACAGAAGACTTGAAGCCATCTTTAAATAATTTATACTCTTAGCAGCGATTATTTGAAAGTGGTTGAAAATATAAATCAGAGTTTAGTTTAGAGTTAGCATTTTAATTTATAATTTATATTTTTGTTGTAGTAGTTATTATTTGTTTCTTTTAAATCAATTCAATCAATTCTTTTAAAACCTGTTATAATGTTGAATGCCATTTAGATTTATTTAATATTTGTTAAATTTCCAACACAATTAACAATTCTCTTTATTAATTTAAATTTTTTTATGATTATAGAATCAACAAATTCAGAGCGTTTTGCAACAAATTTTAGATGTTAGATATGCGAAAATTTCAAGTTCAATATGAAGCTTAGTATAGTAATTTATATTTTTCCAAGCAGAGACTTGTTTTCATTATCGTATCATTCTTTATTGTCAATACTGAAGGTATTAGATCTTCGAATTCAGAAGACAGTAACCCTAATAACAACAGTATTTAGTGACAATTTAGGAAGGCTGTGTCGGCATGAGCTAATCTTTTACAAGCCGATTTTGCAGGCTGGAGGGAAAAATTTTATTTTATTAACGTAAAAGACACAATTGGGGTCGATTACTGAGCTTTAAATAATTGAAATTATACTGTTGATGAAATTTCCATTTTACTATATTTTCTATATTACGAGTGCATCCTCAAACCTACTTTATTTCATTTAGATGACCTTCAAGTAGTTTTCAAATGGCAACCCATAGCGTATTTTCTGTAGACCTTTGCAAACTTGCAAACGAAATCTAATTACGAATATTTCATGCACACATTCTCATGAGAAAGTTTCTTAGGACAAAAAAGAAAAACAAAAACAGAACAACAACAAATAAAAAGCCGCAGTAAAGTCTCTGCTTTCAACAAGCCACAAACAGTTGTCAGAGTTCCTAAAATACGACGTATACGAAAAATACGGACCCATGCGTAGAACGACAGACTGCGGCCGTAGTTGGGAAAATAACTCACAAGCTCACGAGTAACAAAACTGTGGCAAGCGCGTTCATCTGTTCGTCTGTTGTCGGTGCACAAAAGGTGACGCTGCAGGGTGCATCATAGGAGGCCCAGTCCCAGCATGGAACATATGTGTGTGTATAAGGCTTTGAACAGTGGTGCGTATTTAAAGAATTGGTGTGTGAAAAACGAATTTCCGTTAAGATTTATATTACAAATAAATACAAATCCATTTTAAGAAAAAAAAACATGATTATACAATTGTCAAAGTTATCATAAAATTTAATAATTGTCCAACCTAGGACAAATCTTTAATAAAGAAAAATATTAAATAATAATAATAATAATAATAATAGAAAAAGCATCCAAATTTCATATCTGAATTTTTAATAATGTTAGAAACAAATTACTAAACAAATATATTGGGAAACAAGTAAGTTCGACTAATTATTCGACTATTTCTTTAGAACATGATTTTTCAGTTAAATGATAATGAATTTTAAAGCGAGCTTCGCACAAAATGTGAGCAGTTTTCAAAGAAAATGTTTGGTAGGTATTGGCCGAAGGAGTTGTATTCCGAAGACTAGTTCCTATTTGAAAGCAGCCTTCAATAAACAAACGTGGTAAGTAACTGAACTTATCGTTTGAAATATAATGTTCCAGAAATTGCATTTTGCAAATTTACATTTCCACAAACTGATTATTATTTGCTGTTCACTTTTTTCCACTGCACTGCAGGCGAACAAAGGCTGTCTAATCGTGTGGTAACATCGTCTAGAACCGGCTCTTTGATGTCGAATCTTGGTGACATTTGGTGTTGTTGTTCTTGTTGTTTGGTATCCTTTTCGGTTTCCTGCTGACGTCACATCAATTGCATTGCCATTTCTGAATGCTCGCCCGTAGAGTTGTGACAATTTTTGGGCAGTAAACTGAAATTTAATTGCGCACAATCCAGAGGGCCAATTTACAAGTGCTTCTCTCTCTGGCAGCTGGGTAGGAAACGTGGGGGCGAGGTGAGGAGGATCTACGCCCTTCTGCCCAATTTGTTTATGCAACGTTTCAGGCAATGCTTGAAGACATGCCTGGCACTAACAAAGCAATTTGGCAGTTTGCCAGCGTACAAAAAAAAAAAAGTAGCGAGGCAAAAATCCTTAAAGCTGTTTAGGTTGTTATGTTGGTTGTTGTTGCTATTGCTGTCCGTCCATTTGTCCAACTTAAAATGCACTCAAGCGCTCTGTTTATGATTTCATGTTTGCCCGCATTCCCTCGACACGCTTATTGCATTCTTGCCTTGCATTTTAAAGAGCATAAATTTGTTTTCTGCACTTGGGCGCATTAAAACAAGGCAAAGGGGGCGTACGCCGCATGCTGTATCGGGGTCGGTTGAGGGCGTAAATGTGCTTCGAAGGAAATGTGTGCGAGAGCCCGACGCCAGATAGATATGCCAACAAATTCTGAAACAGAAAACCAACCGCGTCGAGGCATCAGAAAAAGAAGCACGCTTAAACTAAAGCAGCAGCCTTTGCATCCTTACACTCTCAGAATATATTATGTACTATTAAAGCCGATGGCCATAACAAAGGACTGTTGAGTCGGAAAATTCTGCGGGGCTTAGCTACATACATAGATACACGTATATTGTGTGCGTTCGTTGATGTCAAGTATAGAGAAGCTTACGAGCATTTCTTTATACATGTACATATATATTTTTAACTCGTTTAACTCGCTCGCAGATATTGATATAAAAGAATCTATGGAAAATGGCTAAATGGTGCTTCAAACATTTTTTTGTAGATAGATGAATTTACCGTCTGGTCTGTGCTTTGATCAGGCAGTGAGAACAAAATGTTTTGTTATGTTCTATGGGTTCTGAAAGATATAGTTGTATATGTGTAGAAAATAAAAACATAATTTTATTGCGACTAATCTTTTTTCCAGTCTATACTATGCCTTCTTTAGATTTCTATGAAATGGTATAGAACTTGAGTAATCAGTAATTCTCAATAAATTTTGAATTAAATTATGTTCCATTAATGAACAATTCGTTTAAAGGATTCACATTAGAAACTAATAAAAAATATAGCTTTATGAAACTGATTAACATTTAAAGTTTCAAACTTATAATTTTGATTGCTTCTTCGACTTCATTACTGATCTGTGGTATATTAATTTACAAATTTTTCTTGAGTGTATGGGTCAGTTGGGAAAAGACCAAGCGGCCAGGCCATGCAAAATGTTGTGCCAAGTTTTTGGCCTTGTTATCGCATCGACATCCGCTGCCTTGTGGATTCTGTTCTGCGCTGCTCAAGAGCCAGAGTCATAATCGGCAATTAGGCAATTTAACGCCTTATTAACGTCCATTAGACTATTATACCAATGCTGCTCTTTAAGCCACCAACAAAAGAGTCCTCCAAGCTGATGAACTCGATGCAGCCATTGTTTTTGTTATTGTTGGCCTCATTGAGCTGCATTTTATAGCTTGGTCCGCTCCTTCATATTCCTACAGCGTTGTTGAAATTCGCGCCGTAGTTTTTCACTTGTTGGAAATGCGAATGTTGCGTTATGAATTTTTAAAAAAAAATTG